CATCACTTACCTTTTGACCAATCACACCAATTTGGCAGACGCCACAGCGCAAGGTGAAGTTTGCAGTGTCTGTGTAGCTCCTCTTCCTGCATATGGCATGTCCAACCAATGGTGAATAAGACATATGAATGAACACCATTCACATGATGCACTTGCGATTACATATGATCATGTTCGATGATGCAATTTACTAGGAGCTAAAGCTTCTTCTTCCTCTTCTTTTCATTTTTGGTTTCTGGGATGCATATTTTGAATCACTTCTGAACAGTGGTTACATGCTAAACTAAATGTTCTGTTCAAGGCATCACTGATTTCAGCAAATTATGTAGATACTTTATAGGAAAAAAAGAACTAAGCTTGAAATGATAGATACCTCTTTTCATCCTTCACGAAGTTAAGAGCAAGGCCCTCTACTGGGCCAATCGACCATTTGTGGTCGACAGGGAAGATAGTCTGATCAAATTCTTCCGGTGCACCTTCAAATGGTGACATCTGAATTTTGTTGATAAAAAACAGCCAAAATTAGTTGGCATCTCATTGTGTTTTGTTTATCGTCAAAAATTTATCATGAATACTTACAGCTAAAGCATCATAATGCAGCCCATCATAGATGAGCATAGTTCGCTCAGTGTAGTTCTTCTCCTGTATCAAGGGATGCAAAGCTAAGACACCGCCTTAACACTTTAGGATAAACAAAAGTAAAGGAATATAAGATCCACCAACCTGACCATACAGATCACAGCGGGTTGTCTGGATGTCATATGCAGCAATTTCACGCCCATAATATTCCGATAGGATAGAAAGTTCAATGGCACCTGTACAGTTGAAGAAACAGAGGTGAAAAAAAGTCAAATATCAGCAGGTAAACTAGTAAATCATCACAAGTAGTGTTAATTGTTGCAACTCTAGAAAGAGAAGCACTTGTACTGGTAACCCAAAGTGCTTATATCATTTGGAGAAACTTTTAGTGCCACCAGACTACTAATGGAGGCTGAAACTTATATAGCAAAGATGCTTACCAAGAGAACATGAGCTCAACTATTTTCATGGTCTAAGGCATAAATGTGGAAAAGCATGACATTGCATTATTCCTCTTGCGAAAAAGGGATGTTTTAACACAAATTTTAGAGCATTGATGCAACAAAATGTGGTGCATGACTGTATGTCAAAATCCATGGATAAACAACATAGCATGAACGGTTTCCATTGAGGTTGTTTTTCAGCCTTGTTGCTGTGCATGATTAGTGGTGCAAAAGCTCACCTCCCCACTTTTCAGAATCCAAAATCCAAGCACAGTACGCTTCATTTGGTTTTCCAAGAAAAACTTCACTGTACTTTGCAGGATCACTAGCAACTGCTGCTGCTATAACCTTCAAGAAAAGAGGGAGAAAAACGCAATGTCAACCATACTGAATTTTGCAGCAGTAAGGCAATAATTGTAAGCCTAGCTTAAATCGACATCATCACATGCGTATTGGTGCCTTTATCATACCTGAGCTAATACACTATCTATTAAATTTATTCTTTTCTTCTACCAAAAGATGGTATTAAACAAAGTATAGTAACATAGCTACTTATTGAGGAAGGGGTAAGAATTCAACACAGCAGCTGAACATCAATACTCCCGCATACAGTTTTTTAAAATAAATTACAAACATTACTAGTACAGTTGACAAAATAACGCTTGAGTAACAGATATGCCAATGGATCTAACTGAATTCCATAGTTATCAGTGCATGCCATGTAAGAGTTCCTCAAAGAAGTTTATCACACGAATTGAATTAAGGCCAGTAGCTCATCTATATGATAGATCAATATCATTGCCAAGCTAACAATATCATTCCATCTATTCCAATTAATGCAGCCACACATGATAGTACAACTGGTTTTGGCAGAAAATGACTTTGGAGCATATACAAACGTTTGATACCAAATACTATAAACATATTATAGAACACGAAGTTTCTAGCAAGCATGATGATAGCTTTGGTTCGAGTTTGCAAAAATACGAGGGGGATGTATATCATTTTTTACAACATCAGAGCCTCTAAAAACCTTGAAGAGTGAGAGGGAAGACATATATGCAGGTACATTAGTCTTTCAAAGCAGATACCTGTCTGAGCTCAGAAGCCTTGTTCCTGTTATGCTCCATGACATACCTGTATCAAAGAAGGTATAATCGGCAACCGCTCCATTTGCAAAACCATCAATAATATATAGATAGCACCATGATTGAGAAATCATACCCAACAGCATTGAAGAGGCAACTGTTGTCCGAAGGGATCACCCTCCTCACAACAACACCTTCCATTCCAGCTCAGCTAGAAACCATTTAAAAAAAAAAATCACTCGTCAGAAGAAATGAATTGCAAAAGTAGCGCTTGTAATAATCACTGCCATCACATTAAATTGACAGTATGAAGGACAGCAAATGCAAATTACTAGAGGCAGAATCCATTCCAATCAATGAAGAAGATGCTGTGGTTAAAGCATCAGGAAAGTAAAAACATTATTTTTAGATAAGCATCAAGTAGTAAACATGATGAACAAAAAAAAATAATTATATTACATGGGTAGATAGATACATGATCCGCTAATCAATTGAAATCAAATCCCCATAAAGAAGACACTTTAGGAACTAGTACAGGTTTCTAATCTTTATCTAAACGGTGCTTATCACCATTTCTCCTCCTCAATCAGGAAGAGAGAAGAAGCTAGAGAACCAAACACAAGGAAAAGGAACCCCGCAATATATCTATCAGAAATGGCGAAACGAAGAGCGTTCACAGGTGACCGACCGACCATCTCCTGCCGCATCTGATGCCAAAGCGCAGGAAGGCAGGCAAGAACCGGACGCTGCACGCGGCGTAAACCTTCGCACCCACCTATGACCTACCAGAGAATCCCTCCCGACGAACCCCCCGGCTACGAGCGAAGCTACGACGAACAGCAGAGCAAAGAAGAAGAAGAAGAAGCCGACACGAAGGAAGGTTCTTGTCCTCTGTCGAGAATCAATGGAAGGAGGAGGCGTTCCGCGAACATCCGAAAGGGAGAAAGGAGAGGGGGGGAATGGAAGAGCGAGACTTACGAGGAGGAGGCGGCGCGGGGCGAGGGATCCGGGGTGCTGTCCGGGCAGACGAACGAAATCGTGGGGGAGAAGAAGAGGAGGAGACGCGCGAGGAGAGATACGAACGAGAGCGGCGAGGCGATCCGAGACGGATCTGAAGGCCAAAAAGAGGGCAGGTTGGTCGCGGCGAGACACGAGGAGGCCGCGTCCGTGCGCCGCGAGGGAGGCTGTGGCACTCCACGATAAACATGTGTTTGGATCAATAGGTTAACATATGTGTGTCCAGGTTCATAGCTCAAATTTGTTTTTTTCTGGGATGGAATAGAAGGTCACATCAAACATACTCCCTTCCGTCCGTCCTGACAAAAAAAAAATCTAACAACGAAATATGAATCTCTCTTAGGTTGAGTTTATTTCTAGAACGAAGAGAGTACTTTTTCAGATTTGTTTGGTTTCGAGATCGGTAAAAATTGGTTGATCCCCACGGAGAAATATTTCTTCAAGATTCAAGTCAGATTCACAATTTAAAAATTGACAGACCAATTCAACACACTTCATCTCTGTCACTGACATGTGAACCACACTCTCTTATCCCTAAAAATGCATGACCACTTCATATCTCTCTCTGTGTTTTATGTTTTATGTCATGCCATGCAAATTGTGCATTATTTGATTGAGCATGTGTACATTGCAACAAAGACTACCCATTTGCCCTCTTAAATAAACGATTCGAGATTTAAAAGTTGAAAAAACAAACATAGAAACACTCATTCAGACCTCACAAAACATGCCCTACTATATATATGTCACTCGAGTAATGTTTCACTAATAAATTTACATGTGTGTAGCAAACAATAGCAGATCTAATATGAGTGCAAGGAGAGAGAGGAAGAATTTTGTTTGGGGGGAAGGGGGTTAGATCATCACTATTTAGAGCAGGGTCAATAATAAAGTAGTCAGTTGGCTCCAATTATATTTATACCAGTTCATCTATAACTCACTTTGTAGCTCGTACATACATTGTATTGTTGGGCCCTACACACTTCACATCATTATTAAAAAAAAATGCAGCATTGACCCCATGCTGCAGCATCTCTCTCATGCCCGACGCTTTTGTCTTGAGACGTGTGCTGCAACCTGGTGATAAAATCGTCGCCCGCCCGCGCCTGCTTAGGTTCTCTTTAGCTCTTTCCTCCAGATCAGTATTGCAATCTACACTTAGTGTCGCAAACTATTTCTCGTGGATTTCCCCCTGAGTAGCAAAGATCGAATGATAATTCATTATTTTCTTTTAAAAAATCTAGATACGTGTCTGTCACTAAATAAGGCAAAACTTTTTTTTAGAAGATCTCCTGCGCTTTTCTTTTTCAAGAGGAAAGGTTGCGGGGAAAAGAATAAAGGCTCTATGTCAACGCGAAGAGCCGCACCACCACACGCACACGGGAGGGAACCCAGCCAACCTGTACACACACACCTCGGTGGGGTGCCGGCCGGTCAAGTGGCAGGCGAATCCGAGCCTCCCACGCGAGGAAGCAAAGCCGAGCAGAGAGGCCTTGCGTTGCGTGCGCCTTTGCTAGCTTTTCCACGGGCTTGTTTAGTGGTAAAAAAAAAAATTTACCCCTACATATCACATCAGACATACGGACACATTTAAAGTATTAAACGTAATCTAATAACAAAACAAATTACAGATTCCGCCAGAAAACTGCGAGATGAATTTATTAAGCCTAATTAATTTGTCATTAGCAAATGTTTACTGTAACACCACATTGTCAAATCATGACGCAATTAGACTTAAAAGATTCGTCTCGCAATTTCCTTATGAACTGTGTAATTGGTTTTTCTTTTCTGCATTTAATACTTCATGCATATGTACAAACATTCAATGTGACAACGTAAAAAATCCAAACATTCGATGTGACGACGTGAAAAATTTTGTTTGGGAACTAAACAGGCCCCAACTTGCTCCCTTCTTTTCCTTGCCCCAGATTCCTTTGCCACAACATGGAGAAAGAGATATATGCCCAGTGTTGTGATATCCAGGTTAGATAAGATTCTGGAAAGTTACAGGAGAATAATATATAAGCCGATATGATATGCTTGTTGGTTCAGTGCATGCACAAGAGAAGCTTCTCCCAAGAACCCATGGAAGCTCTGCCTCTACTCATGTTTGTTATGGTGGAAGTTGCAGGGCCAGGGTAGCTGCTCCTTTACCCCAATCACCATCCATCCGGCATCAACCAACAAGAGTCCAAATCATATACTAGTAAGCAAAAACCAGCCATTAGTGTTGACGACCAAAATAACCAACAAAACTACTTGCCGGTGAAAAGTAAGATTCTGCGCCTCTCTGCCGCTGACATTCCTCCCTTGATTTCTTTCGTGAGTGGCATGTGGGTGGGTCTTGCAGGAGCAAATAAGCTTTCACTGACATCATCCGGCCCCCACACGCTTTGCTGAATGCATAAACACCAGCATTGCAATTTGTCAACAATTTATGCATGGTAGTATTTCTGCAAGAAAGCATTATCACCTGGGAGTAGAGGCGCTCTAGTATGCACTAGCTTTTGGACGGAGACTGAATAAGCTGGCATATTTCTTGTTCTTCCAACACAGAAGGGGAAGTTGATGTGCTTCCATGCTGCTTCAGAAATGTGTCGTTTGCCAATCAAGAGCGACGGCAATGGCGGATCAGTGAGGTAGGTTTTGTTATCGGATCTGCATTTGAAGCAAAATAGACTGGGAATTGATAAGCGATTGGAGATACTAGGTAACCAAATGCGTTTTCAAACCAATACCAAAAATATTGAAGTACTTGGGAGACTAGCTAAGTAAAAGCTCAGGAGCATAATACAATACTAAACACATGAAATAATCGAACATGTAAAACGGTGCAGCTACGATCTTAGGGTTCACCAAGTACCACCAGAGCTTGTTGATGATGATCAAGGAAGGTAGGTACACCTATATCAAGCTTGACAACTCCTCCCTAAGTTGTTAGAAGAATTTTGTCTTGTTATCTCTATCGAAGTACAGAAGATTATGGCAATTAAACCTGTCCGTTCCAAAGTTAACATTAATTACTTATCAATACAAGGGTGCCTTACATGGATCAAGGTACTAATTAACCAATCACTACACTCAAATTCAAGTTTGTAGAACAGGGCTAGTATTTAATTAAGCAACTTAACATTCATTTCTCTCTTAACAGTCAAACCATAAGAATCTTGAAACAAATCGAAGATGACAAATTATCCAATATGCTCCAGGTTATATATACTTTTAGAAAAATCACTAGTTACCTTACCTGCCCAATAATGAGAGAAGCTACATTGAGAGTGGATGTGTTGAAACCCTGCTCAAGAAGCCATGAAAGAAACATCTGATGTAATCACACTCTGGCCAGGTGGCTTTCTGCAAATAGTGTCATCTCTTATCTTCCTTCTAAGAGAATCAACTTCATGCCACAGGTTTTGGTTAGCATAAATGTTGGACAGAAGCACACCAGCACCTCCTTTATCTGAGCGAACAGACTCAATCCTCTTGATCACTAGTTCCCCAATATCCAATTCATTGTTGATACTGCAAGCACTCAATAATGCCCCGAGAATTGCCAAGTTTGGCTCAAAAGGCATGCTTTCAATAAACTGATAACCACGTGCAATAAGCCCTGCCCTGCTGAAAAGATCTACCATGCAACCGTAATGCTTGATATCAGGGGTGACCTTGTACTCATTCTCCATGGAATTGAAGATAGATATTCCCTCATCCACCAATCCAGCATGGCTACAGGCAGAAAGAACCACAACAAAGGTAGTCGAATCTGGCAATACTCCCGCCTCTTTCATGCTAAAGAATAAAGCAACTGCCTCTTTGCCATGGCCATGAGAAGCCAACCCTGAAATCATGGCCGTCCATGAATGCAGGTCCTTCTGAGGCATCAAACCAAACAAGCCACGAGCTAACTCAATGCTGCCACACTTTCCATACATATCGATCAACGAATTCTTCACAATCAACTCTCCTTCCAACCCCACCTTCTCCACATATGCATGCAACCCTTTGGCATACTCCAGGGAGCCCAGTCCAGCACACGCAGAAGCAACCGACACAACCGTTGCCACATTAGGCCTAACAGCCTCCTCGCAGCTTCTCATCTCCTGAAATACCTCGACACCTCGAAGGAACATCCCAGAGTCCACGTATCCCGACACCATGCCCGTCCATGCAACCACATCCTTCGCCTGCATTTCATCAAACACCCTGCGAGCGGCAACCTCAAACCGGCAAGCAAAGTAGGCGTTCATCAGCGCCGTCTGCGTGAAGAGCACGGAACTGTAACCAAGGCGGAGGCTTTGCCCGTGCAGGGATTCGCAGAGAGGACGATCACCGGAAGAACAGGCATGGATCAAGAACGGGAGCGTGTAACGATCCGTGGTAACGCCTCGGTGGCGCATTTGGTCGAACAGCTGGAGGGCGAGACGGGGAGGCGAGGCGCGGATGAGGGAGTTGAAGGAGAAGGGCGAGAGGGAGGAGGCGGGGAGGTGGGAGAGGAGCAGGAGGGAGAACCGGAGGGAGAGGCGCGAGGAGGCGACGAGGAGGCGCGAGGCGACGAAGGGGTTGCGCGCGAGGCCGGAGACGATGCAGTGGGAGAGAAGAGGAGCGAAGGCGCGGAGGGAAGCGGCGGGGAGGAGGAGCGGGCGGAGGCGGCGGTGGCGGCGGAAGAGCGCGTTCTCCGCCGCCCACGCCGGAAGCGCCGCGGCGTGCGGCGGCGACGGCGGCGGCGCCATGGAAATTGCAAACGCTCATCTCGTCCGCAAATACGTATTTCAAAAGCGAAGGCGTAATCTGGTAGACCGCTTTTGAAAGCGAGATTAGCTCAACGCGATGATTTCATTAATCACGGAACATGTATACATATAGACCTCATCCATACCTTAACCACTCAACCGACTTATAGCAATAGAATCGGGAGGATTAGGACGAGAGATCGGATGAAACAGAAAGACATAAACACCGCAAGCGATAATATCGCTAACACCTCCCCGCAGCCGGAACGTTGTTAGAGCGAACGTTCAGGCTGGACCGGAACTCCGTGAACACAGGAGTTGGCAACCCCTTGGTGAAGATGTCGGCGTATTGGGATGTGGTTGGCACATGTAGAACTCGCACAGATCCAATGGCGACCTTCTCGCGCACAAAATGTAAATCAATCTCAACATGTTTCGTGCGTTGATGCTGCACTGGATTAGTTGAGAGATACACTGCACTGACATTGTCGCAATACACAAGAGTATCTCGGACTGGCGGGGCATGCAGCTCGGTCAAGAGTTGGCGCAGCCAACAGGTCTCAGCGACGGCATTTGCAACAGCTCGGTACTCAGCCTCAGCACTGGAACGAGAGACAGTGTTCTGACGCTTGGAGGACTAGGAGACTAGGTTGTCTCCCAAGAACACAGCGTAGCCCGAGGTGGACTTGCGTGTGTCTGGACAGCCAGCCCAGTCCACATCAGAATAGGCCACCAAGTCATGAGAAGAAGACTGGCGGATGTGTAGTCCAAGATCTGTAGTGTCGCGAACATAGCGTAAGATCCTCTTGAGAGCGGTGAGATGAGTCTCGCGAGGGTCATGCATGTGTAGACAGATCTACTGAACAACATACTGTATGTTAGGGCGAGTGAAGGTCAGATACTGCAATGCACCCGCAAGGCTGCGGTAGTCTTTGGGATCTGCAACTGGGGAACCATCTGTGGAGGATAGCTTGGAGGTAGTATCAACAGGGGTGTTGCAGGGCTTGCAATCTGTCATGCCAGCGCGCTCCAAGATCTCCAAGCAATACTGCCGCTGTGAGAGAAACAACCCTGAGGACTGACGAGAGACTGAAACACCGAGAAAGTGATGAAGCTCGCCAAGATCCTTCATGGAGAACTCTGTCTGCATAGATGAGATGGTCTAGCGCCGGAGCGAGGTGGACGAGGCAGTAAGAACAATGTCGTCGACATAAAGCAGAAGATATATCACATCGCTGTCACGTCTATAGATGAAGAGAGACGTGGCCGACTTGGCCTCAATGAAACCAATGGATTGCAAGAAGGTAGCAAAGCGATTGTACCAAGCCCGTGGCGCTTGCTTGAGACCATAGAGGGACTTGTTGAGGCGGCAGACGGAGTTGGGGTGGGCAGTGTTGACGAAACCAGATGGCTGGATGCAGTAAACTGCCTCGGCCAGGGTACCATGCAAGAAGGCATTCTTCACATCAAGCTGATGAATGGGCCAGCCGCGGGAGACGGCGAGATTGAGGACGGTGCGAACTGTGGCCGGCTTGACGACGGGGCTGAAGGTCTCGTCGAAGTCAATGCCGGGGCGTTGCGAGAAACCGCGAAGTACCCAGCGAGCCTTGTAGCGGTCCAGACTGCCATCGGCGTGGAACTTATGTCGAAAAATCCACTTGCCGGTGACAATGTTGGCGCCTGGTGGAGGAGGGACAAGATCCCAAGTGCGGTTGGCCATCAACGCCGAGTACTCCTCTTGCATGGCGTCTCGCCAGTTGGTGTCAGCGAGCGCGGCACGGTAGGTGCGCGGGATCGGAGACAGGGTAGCGGCTTGAAGGTTCATACGTGTAGTGGGTACCGGTACACCAGCCTTGCCTCTGGTGGTCATGCCGTGGTCGTTGTCAACCGGAGACTTGCCGAAGCCGGTGATGAGCGGGCGTGGAAGAGGAACGCGCGCACTCCTTGCGCGGGTCGGAATCATGAGCGGCGGTAGAAACGGTGATGAAGCGCTAGAAGATCCGTCATGGGGCGACGTGGCCGTGCTTGGGGGAGCGCGCGGCCCAGCATCGATGAGGTCGACCGAGGTGGCCGAGGTGCTGGGGAAGTCCTGGAGCGCCGTGTGCTAGGCCAACCTTGTCGGTGTTGGAGTAGAGGGTGGCCCAGAGACAGCCGGAGAGTTCGCAGGCCGTGGGCTAGTGGGCAGAGCAGGCGGTGGTCCAGGCGGTGTAGTGGAGGGCCCACCAAGCAGCCGAGTGGAGGGAGAGGGCCCAGGCCGCGCGCCACTGGGCCTGCCGGAGCCGATCGGCGCCTGTACTGGAGCAGTAAAATCATCCAAGAAGAAGAGATCAGTAGTACATGTGTCAACAGTAGAGTTCTCAGCAAAGGGGAACGTGTTCTCATCAAACACGACATACCGAGAAATAATAACCCTGTTAGTAATGGGATCAAAACACCGGTATCCCTTGTGATCGCTGGGGTATCCAAGAAAGATACACATGGTGGAGCGGGGGGGGGGGTAGTTTGTTGGGTGTGGTGGCGGATAGGTTAGGATAACAACGGCAACCGAAAACCCGAAGATGTGTGTAAGACGGGTGGACACCATGGAGGGCAAAGTAGGGAGTGTGGCGTTGGAGAGTTTTAGTGGGGTGGCGGTTCATGAGATAGGTAGCGGTGTAGAGGGCCTCGACCCAAAAGGAGCCAGGGAGGTTGGCTTGAAAGAGAAGCGAGCGTACAATGTTGTTGAGGGAACGGAGAGTGCGCTCGGCTTTACCATTTTGGGGAGAGGTGTGGGGGCAGGACATGCGCATGGTGACGCCGTTAGTGAGGAAGAAGGTACGGGCGGCGGAGTTGTCGAACTCACGGCCATTGTCACATTGAATGCTGCGAATCGGTGTGGAAAACTGAGTCCTGACATAGGCAAAAAAATGAGAAAGTGTGGTAAAAGTGTCGGATTTCAAACGTAGAGGAAACGTCCAAACATAGTGAGAGCAATCATCAAGAATGACTAGGTAATATTTAAAACCCGACACACTGGGAACAGGAGAGGTCCACAGATCACAATGGATTAACTCAAAGTTTCCCTTAGCCCTAGAAAACAATGTAGTAAAGGGTAAACGAATGTGACGACCAAGCTGACAAGCATGACATATGGTGGAGGAGCCGCCTTTGGGTGAAGGAATGACCGAGGAGTGGGCCAAGCGAGCAAGAGCCTCGTGACCGAGGTGTCCAAGCCGACGATGCCAAAGTGTGGTGGTGCTGGCGGCAAAGGAGCTGGCCATGGTGTTGAAGAAGTTCGCCGGAAAGGAGTAAAGGTCACCGAAACTATTGCACCTGGCGACCACGGTCCTGGTAGAAAGATCCTTCACAGTGAAACCAAACTTGTCAAACTCGATGGAAAGATTGTTGTCAGTGACAAACCGATGAACAGAAATGAGATTCTTTATAATGCCAGGAGAAACAAGATCATTATTAAGAAGAAATATTCGGTTGGCATAAAAAAAAGAGGCATCGCCGGTTGCAGTGATGGGCAGGAGGGAACCGTTTCCAACAATAATGTGTGAGGGGGTAGAGTGAGTTGGGTAGGTGGGAGAGGATAGGATATCGGTGTCCGAAGTCATATGTGAAGTAGCACCGGTGTCCATGTACCGGTCAGTGGAGGCGGGCGTCGTGAGGGTTCCTGTTTGGAACAAACCAGCAAGGGTTTGCTGGTCCCAAGCAGGCGTCGGGCCGGTAGCGCCGTACCAGGCCGAAGGCTGGGCCGACTGCTGTGGCGAAGGCGTCGGAAGAAGGCCGGCCTGGTTGTAGAAGCTGGCTGGCTGGGCGCTGGAGGCCTGTTGCGGGAGGCCGGCAGAAGGCCCAGCGAGTGCCGCTCCTGCGAACTGAGGTCGTGGGCCGAGGATGCCAGGGGAGCGCAGAAGTGGGCCACCGGGCCACATCTGGATGGTGCCGGCCCATGGGTGCTGAGGTGTGGGCCAGCCTTGAGGAGCATGTGGCTGGCTTGGTCCCTGGGCTTGCACGATCTGGAGGCCGCCTTGAGACGCTTGTGAACCACCGCCGCCGCCGCTAGAGTTGTTGGAGTTGCCGCCGGAGTTGTTGCGAGGGCGTCGGTTTCGATTGTTGCCGCCGCCGCCGCCTTTATTTCCGCCGCCGCCTTGGCTGGTCTGGTTTGGGTTGTCGAAACCCGTGGCATGCGCCGGGTTCATGCCGCCGGTGCCGCGGTTGCCGCCGGTGGCGGCGATCAGGGCGGTAGATGGAGCAGAGGATCCCTTGTTACCTTTGTTGATCTCGGCGAGGATGAGCTGGCTGCGGGCCTCGACGAACGACGGAAACGGTCGCTACAAGGGAATAATTGTTTGCAAGTGTTCATACTTAGGGTTGAGACCTTGAAGCATGGCGAGGACGAGTTGCCGGTCGGTGACGGGGTCGCCGAGCTCGCCGCGGGTGTCAGCCATGGCCTTGAGGCGACGACAGTAGTCGTTGGCGCTGAGGTCACCTTGCACGAAGTTGTGGAATTCCGTCGAGACGTGCATGGCGCGTTGTTCTCGGTGACCGAGGAACATCTGCTCAAGGCAGAGCCACACATGGCGTGCAGTGGCGACGGGCTGCAGCACGGTCTCCAGGAGATCGGCAGCTATGGTGCCATAAATCCATGCCAGCACCACGCAGTCCATCCGTGCCCGTGTCGCTTGGTCGGGGAAGGCGACGTCGGAGAGAACGTGATCGGAGAGGGCATATTGGCCGAGCGTGACGAGGAAGAGGCCGCGCCACTTAGAGTAGTTCGCCGCGCCGAGGTCGAGGACGACTGGAACAAGAGCCTTAACGTTGAGGACCGACACAGCTTGAGCGTGGAGTGCATCAACGGTGTCGTCGACGAGCGGCGCGCCACCGGACGCGGCGCCGGCGGGTTGCTCGTCATGCTGGTGAGGAGGCGGAACACCGAGCGCTGCGAAGAGACTTGACAGGTCGGGTTCGGGGCGGTCGACGGGCGCGCCAGCGGAAGAGGGCGCGTCGGGTTGAGGAACACCGAGGGCGGCGCGAAGCGCCGATGCGTCGACAGTCACCGTGGTCGGGGAAGACGGGCTCGACGCTGTGTTTGCCGTGGCAGACGACGAGACGACGAGGGCAGAGATGGCGTCCTGGACGGCCTTGACAGCAGCAGCAGAAGTGGCGTCAGCAAGGGCCTCGGCGGCGGCACGATCATCCGCAGAGACTGTGTCATCGGCAGGACGGAGCGTCTTTCGGATGGCAGACGTAGCGGCGTTGGTTACGGAGGTAATCGCCGCGGAGAGAGCGGCGTTGTCGTGAGACGACATGAGGGCCGGCGTAAGGGTGAGCCGGCGGCGGCAGGAGAAAGGTTTAGGGTGGAGCGGAAGCGATTAGATCGGAGGTATCTGATACCATGAAAGCGAGATTAGCTCAACGCGATGATTTCATTAATCACGGAACATGTATACATATAGACCTCATCCATACCTTAACCACTCAACCGACTTATAACAACAGAATCGGGAGGATTAGGAGGAGAGATCGGATAAAACAGAAAGAGATAAACACCGCAAGCGATAATATCGCTAACAGCTTTGTTTCCACCCCCACATAATTACACACACTGGCCGCTTTAATTGTAATTTAAACAGCTTACTAATTAACATTAGATAGATTAATTATCAATCAAAACCTAATGAAATTTCACTGGTTAAAAGAAGTCGCATGCTGCCGCGTTGTGAAATTCTTCCGTTTCATAGGCGGCGCCATGGCCGTGGTCAAGGTTGTAGCCGTAGCCGGCGGCGAGGTCAGTGTACCCAAATCCATGGCTGAACTGCGGGGGGAGAGGCGGCGGCATTATCATCGGCGGGAAGGACAACGGCGGCGCATGGACAGCGTTGCCGCCGATCAACTTCGTCGTGGTGTCGTGGCTCCCGGGGCTGTGAGAGACTAACGGGCCGGCGTCGAGGTAGTCGATGAGGTTGGCGGCGGCGGCGGCGGCGCCCGTGTAGTGTGTCATCGCCTCCTCGACGATGATGTCGTGGACGCGCTCCGACGCCTCGGCCTGGACCCTCTGGAGCGCGGCGAGCATGGACACGAGGTCGGCGAGCCCCGCGCGGCGCACGTCGGCGTCGTTCCAGACGCCCGCCACGCGCGCCGCCTCGTCGAGCGCGTCCCGCCTGCGCGCCGCCGCGCCGAGCGCGTCCTTCAGGCGCTCCTCCACGCGGTTGAACTCGCGCACGACCGCCTCCTCCTCCTCCGCCGCCGCCGCCGCGGCGTCGGCGGGGGAGCGGCCGAGGAGGAAGCGGTCGGCGACGGCGGAGACGGAGGGGTGGCCGAAGCAGTGCGGCCTCCCGGCGGGGGAGAAGAAGACGACGGCGACGCGCGCGCCGCAGAGCACGGACAGCTCGCTGGCCTTCTTGAAGACTCCCTCGCGGCGCTTGGAGAAGCACACCTGCCGCGCCTCCTTGTTCTCGATCAGCTTCATCTCGATCCTCTGCCGCCCCCGCGTCCGCTTCCACCTCCTCCCCTCGCCGCCGCCGACGTCCATCTCCGCCGCCGCCTTCGCCATCGCCGCCGACGAGCCCGTACGTGTCATGTGCAACGTGTAGGATTTATATAGACGAGAACGCATACATACAAGGAAAGAGGAGGGAACAGTATCAGAAAAAGGGATATTAACGTTGTGAATTTTGTACTGATTGATTGATGATGCATGAGTACGATTTGTGAGTTTTGTGATCTGTCAATCAGAGGAGCAAGGATGATGATGATCAGTCAAAGTAGGTCAGATTGTCACGGCCGGTTTCCATGTAAAAGGGCACAAGAAATCAAACTTCTGTTCCAACGGTATCTTGCCTACTAGTTCCCAGGATTAGCATCGGATGTAACAAAATGAAATGTGAATGTGATGCTACATTGTCCAAAAGTTCAGAGATAACATTTCGTCGTGATGGTCGATATGGAGGATTTGTGAGCTCTTTGTACATTTCAAATGCGCACCTGGTTGATCTCAATTATACCATCTGCATGACCACTTGATTACTTATCTTATTATGGTGGAGGAAGGCATGCACAAATTTATTTATTTTTTATGAACCTTCCCGACAAAAATGCCGAATTGGAGGGAGATGGAAGATGAACTGGTCAGCACTCAGCACTATGAATACCCAAGCAATTCACAGATCTAATCGCGCCAGGTGTAATCATTATGAGAATTGTCATTTGGATTGGGATAATTCACAATCTGCAATTCAGCCGAGAACACAATAAAGATCGAAATCTTGTTATTTTTCCTACTCGAAATCCTGATTACTAGTATCAACCAAAACCAAGAACACGCGAACCATCTACACAAATCGCAGTACACGCCCAAATCCTTATTAGCTGACAAGATCCGCCGGCGGCGGCGGCGCCGCCGCGAACGCGGCGAAGAACGCATCCGCGGCCGGCGGCGGCAGGAACACGACGCTCCTGGCCGCGCACATCCTCCTCCTGAGCGGGTACCTCCCCGCGCCGCCGAGCCCCCTCGCCGGCACGACGAAGTGCGGCGCGCCGCCCTGCTGCTGCTCGGCCACCACCTGCGGCGGCGTCGGCGCCGGAGGGAGGGACGTCGGCAGGAGGCGCGTCGCCGCCGCGGCCGACCGGAGCCAGCGGGCGACGATCCTCGAGTCCCTGAGCCGCGCGAGCGCCCCCGGGCGGAGGAACCGGTGCATCCGCTCCTCCTCTCGCGGCGCGGCGCGGTGGAGGCGGCGTCGCTCCATCGCCGGAGATAGCTGGGAGGGAGCGAGGAAGGGATCCGGCGGCGGCGGCGGCGGAGATAATTATAGGGGAAGGAGGCGGGGGGAAGCGAGTAGTGGAGGGAAAACTATGGCGGGAACGAAATGGGAGGGAAACTGGAAAAAGAGGGAGATGAAACCACGACGCGCGCACAGCAAATTGGTACACGAATGATAACACTATGTCACTGACAAGTGGGCCCACTCACGTGTCTATCGGTTTATCGTCGAGAGAATTTTAAAGTCACAAGAGTGTATGGAAATGGAATGCCAGTGTTTGATGGTTTGCAGTTTGGTAAAAATTCAGCGCGAATTCATAATGTTTTAACCCATGTTTGAATTCCGATGATGGCAGAGAGACTGAGGGCTTGTTTACTTTGTTGCTCAAATCAACCATACCAAATTTTGACACATTGTGGCATTATCAAAATTTGATAGCGTTGTCTTTGTTTTATTTGTTGCGTTTGTCAATATTTGGTAGAGTTTTAAGAGATAGTTCGTAGAACTGCCAAATTTTGGAATTTGGTAAGATAGTAATGGTTAAAGTGTGTTTAATTTGGTCTAACCAAAATTTAATAATGTCAAAATTTTGTGAGGTTGAAAATGGCACCAAACCAAACATGCCCTGAATTGTTACTCTCAGCAGTATGACAAGAAAAAAAGAGTGATCTTAGTATACTACTATACTAGTCATCGAAATGAAGCATCATCAGGTAAGTTTTATTTTGGTCATACATCATGGCAGCCATATACAGTATACAGTACAGGAGATCGATACAAAATGACCACCTCAAAAAACTCAAAAACATTTTACCTCTTCTCCAAAGAATGCAATATCAGCTGGTATACCCACCTCCTTCACCGCCACCGGCAGACAGACGCTACGTAAAATTGTGGTCCGCTTCGTCGGTGTTCATCCAGACCCAGTTACAGAAACGAATCATCACAGCTAAAAACTACACAAGAATTACATACAAACAGACCGTGGCCAATGTACAGCACACCTACTATAAGCAGGAGGAAGTTCCTGCTTGTGCTTCCGGTTTTTTCCTTTTTTTTGTTTGACCGGTTGTTTCGGTCACGCTAGAAGGTTGCGTTCCAAAGCGCCTTCTCCCCTTCGGCGCACTTATTGTGCACCTCCCAGATCCTCCCCTCCGAGTTGCATATGCCGCTGCATCTCCAGTCGAATGACGCGGCGCAGGTGTTCCCCGCCTGAGCTTTCCACTCGCAATCTGTGATCGACGACACGAAAATGTGACTCGGTTCAAATGTTTACGTTGTTCGTCCGGTTGGTATTGCTAGGTATGAAGAGAAGCTTCAGATAATAAATGCAAGATAGGAGGTAGGGAGCTTACCAGGCGGAGTACCACAACAAAGTCTCCGGTCGTCGATATGCTCGACATCTAATCCAATAAACCAACTTCCTAATGAAACATCCTCATTTATATACTTGTGGAGGACATGTCTAGCAATTGGATTAGAGGAATCAGCATTAGTTTGTGCAACAATGAGAACAAGGCGTGCATGTGCACACAGGTAAATATGAAAACAGGTGTTATCTCACCTGTTTATAGATATGTAGGTTGCTAGATCTTTTGAAATAGCATACAATTGACCAGTAGCATGCCGAAAATATTTGTTTCCTGGTTCGCCAAATTTCCAATGCTCAGGTTCATAGTATCTCACACCCCTGGAGACAAGGGTTAACAAAACTTAGCAAATTTTGAGGGCATGAGAAAAGGAAAGGAGACATTGTCAGAAAGAACAGTTAAAACCATGTGATGCACTTACTTCTCAGTTAGGACAGGTCCAGATTTCATGCATCCAATATATACTCTGGGCTTCAATGCATGATTAGATAAAATCTGTCCAAGTGTTGCTGCAAAAGCAAAACACCAATGTCATAAAGAATCAATTGTCTATAGCAGTGATGCCCTTTCTACATGCAATGAATCAAATATGCATTGATGAGACTAGCTGCGTGTTATCTTGCGAAATATTTGAAACCCTGGTTAATGTTTCTACACATACAAAATGGACACTTAAGATGACCATCAATGAGTCAAAGAGAAGCTTCAAATACAGACATGATGGCGGCACACAGATATGATCACTTTCCTCTCATCTTAAGATCGATAAAATGTTCAAAAAAGAACAATAGAAGGGCATAAAAGATATGGAGATTTACCTATGTTTACATGCACGTCATCATCAACCTTCACATAAAAGTCTGCATCCCACAATGAAACAGCCGTAGCAAAGTATGTCTTGGTTTTGCCAGATAGTGCAAGGTATCCTTCAACATGATCCTGAATAAAGTTAGACCACAATAAATAAGGGGGCGAAATAGCATTCCCAGTGATTCTAGGAGAAACAGTCACTTGATAAATACGATCCATGAAAAACCAATAAGCAATTAAGCAAGTGCTTGTCTTACAATTCTCATGAAGTCACCATGTTTTCTGTCCTCTGCTTCAATTGCTCTATCAACAATTCCACCTGATATAGCACTGGAAGACATGGAATGAGTGAGTTGTTTTGTCAATAACAGAAACCAAAATCAAAATAAGGAACCATGACTACTGAGTACTGAAAAATGCAACACGTTCTTTGTACCTGTGGCCAATGACGAAACGAATGATGATCCCCTTCTCTTCTTCAAGCTTCTTCCTTTTTTCACCTGTTTTTTGTCTGTTAGTTTATCGAGTCATGCCAATAAAACTATAGAAGTACTGTTCCTTTTCTTTTCAGCAGGGGAACAAAAGTACTGTCCTTCACTTTTTTGCGATGGAATAAACAGATTTTTCTTAATGAAACACATATTCCAGATTTTAATGTCAACAACCTTGAGGCATCCAGGTGTAACGTATGGAATCTCTTCTCTTCCGACTGCTAAATGCAGTATTGATGCCGATCACCATAAGGTACTTCCGCCTCCCGATTGACTCGGAAAGTTTGAACTCTTCTGCAACTGGGGAACCATTGAGCAAGGACTCTTGTAGAGATCTTGCAGCTGAGAGTTCTGTCTCTAAGCTTGCTATTGTCTTATCTAGTGTTCTACATTCAAAGCATCCAAAAATACCGATCAGAACTAAAAAAAAAAAATCAACAAGCAAACAAAAATATTCTCAAGAAAGACAAGGCCTGTACGTACTGTACACCATGATGAGTATCTTGAACCCGCAATATATCTTTGTAATCGGGATGTTGGACCTGCTAACAAACACATGATAATCAGCTAAAGATATTGACAATTACTCTATACACTGCATTACAATAGAAAGAAAGTATCATCTTCTATAAAACTAACTTCATGTAATGAACTGGACTAATAAAGTGTTGAATAAAATTAGAGAAATTAAAATGGGAAGAAAAGCATTACCTTTTTAGGACCACACTCCGCGGCAACTAGCGTGTTGCCTTCGTCTCCATTTCCGTTTGGTCGAGCAATCTCGTTTGCCTCAGGCAGTGTCCACATTCTGAAACAATTGATGGGGAATAGGTAAGAAACATTTGGTAAACGAAATACCTCGGGGGAGGTCTTTCGGCCCAGCTTTTTAACCTACCATCATTGTAATAATAACATCATAATGGGCGAAAAGACTAGCTGAATTTGCGAAAATGGAACTAGACATCCACAAAATGTGGTCATGCTTCTGCAGAAGGAAGTGACTGAAGAGTGGAGTGCTAAAGCTAAAATGTTGGGTGAGGATACACCAGTTAGCAGAAACTCGTCTAGGAAGCAAATTATGTGCATATTTCAAATGGGATCATTTGCACAGCTTGTGAAGCCAATAATCTAATGCGGTAAGTAATAAATTCGAGGTTCAGAGAGCGTTGACACTCCAATTCGATGTAATCGAGGTAAACCAAATCACCAAACAACCCCCGTGAAAGCAAGAACACGAACACTCCTACCAATTTACAGTATTCCGCTGCAAAAATCAAGAACACGAATTCATGGCCACACAGTAATCCAGACCCCCCAATCACCCCAGATGCAGAGGCGCGTCAAATGGCACAGATCTTTGAGCTCGGCGCAGCTCAAATCAACGACCCAGCACTAGCGAAGCTGAGCTCAAATCCTCGAAAATTGAAGAGAGCAAGAATCGGAGAGCAGGGGGGATTCTCTTGATTGATTACCTGTTGGTGAAGAGCAGGCCGAGGCAGAAGCTCCCGAGGCAGAGCAGCACGGCCCATCTCCTCGACACCCCTCCATCCCCTCCTCCTCCTTTCCTCCAGCTCATCGCCGCCGCCGCTATCTTGCTCTTCTTCCTCCTTTCTCTCCTCTTCCTCCGCCTCAGAATCTCATGCGCCTGACAGGAGAGCAACCCATGGACGGATCACGAGTCGTTCGTTCTTGACTTGTTTTGGTGTCCTCGATGGGTGAGCCTTTCTTGCAGCTCAGCTCTCTCTCTCTCTCTCTCTCTCTACCTTCTCACCACTTGAGCAGCAAGCAGCTCAGCTCACACCACCATGAGACCCATGTGGGGGCGTCGGTCGTGGTCTCGTGGAGGAGACGCAGAAGCAGCGAGGAGCAGCAACTAGTATACTATGATAGATTAATATGATGGAGAAGGACTGAAGTTTTAGATCCAAACTTTGGATATACTCCTCCCACCAAAACACGCCATTTCTCCTGCACAGCCGCAGTAATTAACTCAACTGCAAGTCTGCAAGAAGCAAGAAGCGGGCAGTGATAATAACTGGCCGACCGTCAAGATCTTCGGAGGAGGAGGAGAAGAAGACGAGGCAGGTGAAGCGAACGCATCGGCTTCGGCTTCTCCGTCGCTTACCTAGATGGATGTATCTGAAGTTCTCAACCGTGTTTGGTTTTTGAGTGTATTCTTGTTTTTTAATTTGTCTGTTTTTGTATTCTTGTTTTTAATTTGTCTGGCTCGGCTTCACAGTTGCGCGCGCGAAACGAACGAACGCACATGGGGGTCGGAGGCTGCGGCTGCGTGAGAAGAAGGTGGAGTGAGGTGATGGGTAAAAAGGGAAGGGGCAACCGACTGACGTGGTGGTGTGTGTGTGTGCTGGTGAGACGTCGCTTTCGGTGGGTGGTCCACGACCACGAACTCACGTTGCTGCTGCTGTCCGCGCCGTGCACCCGTCGGTCGGTAGCAGTGCGGTGCGCCGTGGCAGGGAGGGCGCCGGGGGGTTTTCTTGTCCTAGATCGTCCGTAATAAAATACCGTTGTCTCTATTTTTGTTCAGTACTACTCCGTAAGCGAAATTGATGAGCATGAACACCGGACGTCTCAAAAGATCGTAGAGGAATACTCCCTCCGATAAAAACAATATATTTATCCTTTAAGATTTCGGCCATCGATGATTTCTCGAATGCTTAGTTTACAGCCAAATCAAATGATATAAATAGATTTGTCTCGAAAAGTATTATCACATTGGCTAAATATATTTTTGAGGGGAGTAATATGAAAGATAAAATTACTCGTTTGCCACTAGTTGATTGGTGTTTATTCATTTGCTACTTATTACTCAATATGCTGTAAGGAAATGTAAGGATATGGACACTTGCGTACCGTTAGTGTCTAAGGAGAAGATGTCACCTATGATTTTTTATGACATGGAGGAAAAAGAAAGAGGGAAAAAATATTAGTAAGTTGTTGATTACCAATTTAGCTTTTAGCATACAGTTTAGGAAAAAGTACACGCAAGGTCCCTCAACTTGTTAGCCAGATACAAAATCGTCCCTCAACCGCAAAACCGGACATCCGGCGTCCCCCAACTTACAAAACCGGTCACAATAGGTCCCTCGACGGTTTTGACCCCGGTTTTATCCCACGTGGCGGCTGACTCAGCGTGGGACCCACGTGGGCCCCACATGTCAGGCTGCCACATCAGCCTCCTCCTCCTCTCTCTCTCTCTCTCTTCCCATCTTCTCTCCCTTCCTCATCTCTCTCTCTCTCTCCCTTCTCTGACTCAACCGGCGGGAGGAGGAGGGCGTCGGCAGCCGGCGACGGGTGACGCGACGGCGGTGATGGCGGCGACGGGCGACGCGGCAGTGGTGGGGGGAGGAGCTACGGGTGGGCGGGCGGCAGGGAGAGGCGGCGCGCAGGCGGCGGGGAGGGGCAGCGCGCGGACGGGCGACGAGGAGGGGCGGCGCGCAGGCGGCGAGGAGCAGCGCGCGGATGGCGGGGGGAGGAGCGGCGCGCGGTCTCCCCCGCCGGCCGCCGGCCACAAGGCCCACGAGGCAGAGGAACGGCGGCGACGATACGGCGGCGGGCGACACGGCATCGGCCTCGTCGGAGGCGAGCGCGGCGGCCCCACCCTCCTCGATCGCGCGTGCGGCCGCGGCGAGGGAGGAGTTGCGCGCGTCCTCCTCCTCCTCGAACATGTCGCCATCGTCGTCGTCGTCGTTCGCCACCGCCCCGTCCCGCTCCGTGCCGCCGGCTTCGCGCGCCACTGCCTCGCCGGCCTTCTCCAACGGCGGCGCTCCCCTTCCTGTCCCGGTCTCCCTCGCCGCCCTCGATTCGCTCCCCTCCCCTTCCCCCGCTGACTGCCGTTCCCATTCACACCCCCGCCGCCGCCGCCGCCGCCGCCCACCTCACCGTCTCCACGCCCGACTTCGACGGCACGGCGGGGGCCCTCTTCGTGTGCCCCGGCGGCCGCACGCGCCGCACGGTCGAGGAGGGTAGGGCCGCCGCGCTTGCCTCCGACGAGGCCGATGCCGTGTCGCCCGCCGCCGAATCATCGCCGTCGTTCCTCTGCCTCGTGGGCCTTGTGGCCGGCAGCCGGCGGGGGAACCCGCGCGCCGCTCCTCCCCCCGCCGTCTGCGCGCTACTCCTCGCCGCCTGCGCGCTGCCCCTCCCTGCCGCCCATCCGCGCGCTGCCCCTCCCCGCCGCCTGCGCGTCGCCTCTCCCCGCCGCCCACCCGCCCGTAGCTCCTCCCCCACCATTGCCGCATCACCCGTCGCCACCATCACCGCCGTCGCGTCACCCGTCGCCGGCCGCCGACGCCCTCCTCTTCCCGCCGGTTGAGTCAGAGAAGGGAGAGAGAGAGATGAGGAAGGGAGAGAAGAGGGGAAGAGAGAGAGAGAGGAGGAGGAGGCTGATGTGGCAGCCTGACATGTGGGGCCCACGTGGGTCCCACGCTGAGCCAGCTGCCACGTGGGACAAAATCGGGGTCAAAACCACCGAGGGACCTATTGTGACTGGTTTTGTAAGTTGGGGGACGCCGGATGTCCGGTTTTGCGGTTGAGGGACGATTCTGTATCTAGCTAACAAGTTGAGGGACCTTGCGTGTACTCTTTCCTACAGTTTAATAGGCATGAGATGGATGGAAGTACTAGGTGGGCTGGAAGTGAGAACCGCTTGGGACGACCCATCAGCCTGTGGTCCATGAGTCAATGGACCTTGTGTAAGCGGGCTAAGGAGCGGGTCCCACATATTGCCAGGGACACATGTTAGAAAAGGAAATTGATTGAATGGGCATATTGGGGGTATTTGGATGAATATCTGAGCTTTGAATTTGATGTTCCAATCCATAGAAACTCCAAGAATCCGAGTGATAAGCTTTTGACTGAGATTGATAATAATTTTTTGAGCAATTTTGCAATCCCTGTGAAGGTACCATGAGGTACAAAATTTTAGTGTAAAATTTGGTACCTCGTAGTACTTAAGTACCAGGAGATATCAAATTTACAATATAAAAAGTGGTACCTCATGGTACCTCCTAAATGATCGTAAAATTGCTTTAATTTTTTACATAGTTCGAATTCTGATAGGTTTTAGGATACGGTGGGATGAGAGGGAAAACACAGTATTTCCAATGAAGTTTTGGATTCGCTTTTGTTTTCTTTTGTATAATTTGGATTTGGAATAAATCTCAAGGTCCCTAAAAACCAGACTAGTATTGGATATGATGTTTTCTAGTATAACAAATCCGAATAGAAGTATGATCAAATTCGTTGTAATAGGAAATATGCCATCCAATACTACATTAGTTTACGTGGGACGGGCCCACAAGTTCCATTCTCAACTCGGAGTTTCTGATTCTCACAGAAATTGCCAACTCAAGGATGAACCAAGAATGTCATAAGCACACATCCCTAAATCTCTCAGACCCAAACCCATCAATTTTCACGAGATCCGAGAAGGTAAAGTGGGAGAGCTCGAGGATGCTATATGGTGAAGTGCTTCAACTTAAGGGAAGCATAAGCAGAAGCTCGAGGGAGAGATGGGTCGCCGCGGCCTCCATTCCCTCCAAGGTCCGGCTCATTTGAGCCTCTTAGCGAGCTTGAGTTTGGTGACGTCGTGGTCGAGCTGCTACAGCAATAACTGTGTGCGACAACCAGGCAGACTCGATGCTGTATACCGGTTCTAAATTTCATTCCAATCAAATGATCCATAGCGGACAATACATCTCGTTAACAACAAGGTGTTAACCTGAGCGATACTCGACAGGATTCTTTCTAGTTGACGGATTCCGTAGCTTTTTAGATGGCTTGATCCAGTATAAACCGTTGTCTCCTATTTTCATGACGCAATCTCGTGTATACACTAGTTTCAACGTCCCCTGTACCCTTCAAATACAATCTGCGAGTACAACCCATTGGCAGTTATATAGCTACTTCTTATCCAATTTTACAGTTGAGATTTGAGAATGCAATAAAAACTCTATACTAGCTATATGCAGATTTATTGTATTAGGATACGGTTTTGCTACTTATCTGTCGACAGTTTTCAGCGCTAAAAACTGTTGATTTGTTGGCTGTTCGATCCGGCTCCAAGATTCGTGCTGGGATATTTCGTTATTGGATCCAAATCCACTTTGTCTGCCCGTTTGGCGCTGTTCCTAATTTTCAAACAGTATAATGCCGCGTTAGTTCTGTTCTTTTCCAGAAATTTCCCGTTGGGGAGGAGACCCAAGCGGAGGCTGAGGCGGAGACCCCGCTCTCGACGATTTTCTCGCCGCCGGCGGAGAACCTGCTCTCGGCGCCGGTGGTTTTTCTTGCTTGTGTGCTTCTCTTCATCCACTCGTGTCCATCGTGCCCGTAGCTGATCTGCTTTTACCTTGCTCTCTTCTAAAATTTCCAGGTGATTTTTTCGCTCTCGATTTGGTTTCATTTTTGGGGCATTTTAGATGTTGTGTTTAGATCCCGCATGGTGTTTGCCATATAAATTGTTTTAGGTTTGGTTGTTGTTCTTCTCCTAGATTTATAGGGGGTTTGATTCGTTGATTTCATCCCGCATGTATAGTCGTGGATCTGGGGATGGAGGCGCTAATGCTTTCTCTTCATGGCGAACCGTGATATATGTGTGCTCTTTCTTAGTTATGTTCACTAGATCTGATGGTCTATTGTATCGTGCTAATTTGATTTATTGCAGATCTGCACAGTACATATTTGCATAGTTTGCAGACATCCCATTTGGATTGATCCCTAGTATGTATGTTCTGCGTTGCATCTGAAGCATTTGTTCAGAAAAGTTTCAGATATGCATTTGGGTTGATCCCCCCTAGTATGTTATGTGACTTATGTGTTTCAAGCATTTTTCGTTTGAGTGATGCATGGACAGATCTAGCAGTATGTTCTTGATCGTTTGGTTAATTGGAATGGTGGGATTCTAGTCCAAGAGATCTGGTTGCAGGTTTTGCAACATTTCAGTGCTCGATGTTTTCCTGTTCATGAATTTGTATCGGGTGCAACCGTGCAAGTTTGGGGTTGCAATTTGCTTGGATTATGGTGTGATTTGAATAGAGAAGGGAAAACATTAGTGCAACTTTATCTGAATGCTGCATTCGTTGCAACTTTTTCTAGTATACTGCCTGTTGTTTGGTTGATTAATTGCCCAACTCCCTGTTTGTGTCTGAATTCTTCTACATTTGAAGCATTTCATTTCAGAGATGTATGTCCCAGTATGTTCTAAGTTGTTTAGTTAAATTAAACCCAATTCCCTGCATGTGTTCTGCACTTCTGCTCATGCTTTCTTCCGAATTATTCAGATGGTATCCTGCTGTGTTGTTTGCTTTACAAAATTTCTATACATGTTCTGGATTCTTCTGTTTCTATACATGTTCTGAATTCTTCTGTGCTGATTCAAATGAGTTAGCAGCAAGCCAATACTTGGCTCCTGTTGCTTTGAGAAATTATGGCTGTTGATTCACCTACTGCTTTTCTTCTGTTTTGTGTTTCTGTTCCCTGTTAATTGCTGCACAATCGTAAATCCTTTTGAGTTGGCGTTGTTTCTTAACTTGGGAACAGGGGATTGCACAGCTACACAATTGTTAACCTGTTTGAATTGGCCTATTTTTGAATTTGGGGACAGGGGATCACACGACTGCACAATCGTAAATCTATTTGAATTTTTGAATTTTGGGAACAGGGTACTGCACAGTTTCAGTCGACATGTACATTTAAAATCTCAGACTATGGCAAACTTAAGATAATTAGGCATGAACTCAGTCTAATGCGTGTCAGCAGTAGCAAAACCAAGGTCACTTCGGTGCAGAATACATGTTTATATTTCAGAAATGTAGATATAGTTTCAGGTTGTCAAAATATTTTGTAGATATGCACAGTTGCTTATATTTCTGATATGTTTGTTCAGATTTGTTTGGTGGCATGCAGTTCCATTTTTTTTACTTTTGCTTTTTTAGGTTTCGGTTTGTTTTGAATCATAGGTGCAGTATTTTTAAGTGCAGCGGTGTATTTGGGAGATTTAGCTTAAATGGGGTTTTTTGATGGATTTGAAAAAAAATGCTTTGCACAATGTGCTGTGTTTTCTGTTTTTGATATATACTTAGATAAATGCCTCTATTCGGTGGATCTGAAATGTGTGGGACTTAAGGTTAAGGTTTTTGATGGTCAGTTCTAAATTATGAGAAGCATATTATTTTGTTTTCAACATACGAGATATTAATCTACTGCATGTGTGTTCTTAATCCCCTTCATAGGTAGGCCAACAGTCACTATTAATTATCATCTACACAGAGCGTTATTTTTTTGGTTGCACTATGCAAAATAAGTTCAATTATATTCCAGTTACATATAACTTACAACCTAGTTACAAACTAATTACAGTCCAGTTACAACCTAGTTACAGTGTGCCAATTTACAGTTTTGTGCTTTAGAATCATGTATTTTTTCTATTGTTAGATTTGAATTGAATTTTTTATTTTCCCTTATGCACATGTACATGTATACAGGTAGGACACAAAGAATTATTATATTTTGTAATAGTGCTTGACGATTTATTTTTACTTCTGTACATACTTTGTACTCTGTACTTTTTAATGTTAGCAGATAGCATGATGCATTTTTAGTATTTTTTTTGTATGCCTTATCTGCTGCTAAGTTATTTTTCCCCTTACATACTTTTTGCATGTCATATTTTTTTTAGATGCCACTTATTTGCAAACGAAAGATGCCACGTAGAACAATTGACATCTCATCTGAGGAATCTGAGGGTAACTCTATAAATTCTGAAAGTGACACATGCACAGGGTCAGATGAAGATTATCACATTGATGAGGTCAGTAATGTTAGTGCACTGTTTTTTTTGAAACTATGGTAAATGCATTATATTATGTTTGTATTTTTGTTTGCAGGTTTTGGAAGCACTCAATATATCTGGATTTGACAATATGCTTCATGAGCTTTACAGTAAGAAGGTATATGGTACTGTTATTCCTTTATTTGTTCTTTTTCAATCTCCTAGGGAATATATTATTATAAAAAATAAATGATTCTATTTTCTTTTATAACATGTTGTATAATACATGTATGTATGTCTTTCTTCCAGGGTATAAAAAAGAAGGGAGCGCACAATGAAACTAAATTGGATAAAATGTTGTATGCACTTTTCAAGAAGGATGTATGATCCTCTTGTTCTCTAAAATTTTTTCCCTATATTTTTTCATTATTGTTGTAAGAATTCTCTAATTTGATTTTAAATCACTTTTCACTTGTTTGTAGGTCATTCAAAAGATGAAAAAGGAATTAGTGAGTACTTCTAAGAATGTTCGACACAAGCCTAAGGTAGAGAAAACAATTTTGTATGTCATCTTTTGTCTTGGAGTCTAGTTCTTTTTGTATGTTGTTATTTAATTGTGGTACTATTTTTTTATTTGTAGATCCATAAAGGAAAAGCCGCCTCGAAGACTGACACATCATTCATAAGATTTTCTGCTAAATATTTTGCAGAAGTTGTGTCTAAACTTCCCGAGGAGAAGAAAATTGTGATTAAGAATTTTGGTTTTCATTCTTTGCTTTTGTTTGACTCAAGCTTTATTCCAAAAAAAATTGCGACTTGGATTGTGAAAAAAGTGGATTTAAAGACTTCTGAGATTGTGTTGGGTGACAAGGTGATCCCGGTCAACAAAGAAGCTGTCCATGCTATTCTTGATCTTCCAATTGGTGGTTCAGAATTTGGGAAAAACTATGAACATGGAAGACAATTCATTTTATCCAAATTTGGAAAAACTGTCATGCCTTCAGTGAATTTTTTTGGAGACCAGTTGATTAATAATGAAGATATGACCGACGACAGCATCATTATATCATTTCTGATTGTTGCCTTAGCTACTTTTCTCTGTCCTAACTCTTCCACATGTCCATCCATAAAGTATCTAGATATTTTTGAGGATGTCGATATGTTGCATTCTTTTGATTGGTCAAGTTTCGTCTATGACTGGCTGATGAGCTATGTTAAGAAATTTCAGAAGACCAATAGCTTTGGTGGTTGCTTATATATCTGGGCAGTAAGTTATTATATTGTTTCCCTTTTTTTACTACATGGATTCAAATTTTATTGATGTGCTTGCTGCTTATGCATTCATTTCTTCATATTTTTTATAGATTTTGTATCTTGATCATCGTGACTTTGGTTCAAAAAATGTGCCGAAAGATGTTCCTCGTATAGCTGTTTGGAAGCAGGATATGGTGAAGATTTACTCTGATTTAGATGAAATTGATGATGAGAATTATGGACCGAGGCCTCTTAAAGATTTCTCTGATACATGTTACTATAAGGTATTTTTTTTCTTACATGTTACTATAGCTGTTTGGTTTTTTTTTCTTTATTTTTTATGTCCTTTTGTGTTGTATCATCAAATTTTGTTCTTATTTTTTTCTACTGTAGCCTGTACATGTGCAAAATTCAGAATCATTTCGCAACAAGTTGGATACAGCTATAGGAGACAATTTGCCTGCAAATTTGAAGGACAGCATATCTGATTTGATGGATTCTCATTTTTCAGCAAATCATGCCGCAAAGAACAATTCTTGCGAAGATGTCTTGATTAGTGCTTTACAGATTTTGATTGATGCTAGTGCTAGCCATTTTGTTCGTGCTGCGTACAATAATGCTTCTGCTGAAAATAGAACTAATACACCTACTGAAAATGCTATTCCAAAATCTTGTGGGAAAGATTACCCATCTTCTGATAGGAATGCTGGTAAGTAGGTTGTTTTTTTTTTTTGCAAATTAATCATTCTAGTTTACATTTTTTTTATTTCTTTCATTTTCAAATCACCACATTCATATATCCATTTTACAGATATTGATATTGATGCCAATCTTGATCAAGGACACGGGGAACACTTGACTAATGATTTAGCAGACAATAATGTTATTGATGTAAGCATTCCGTTCTTTTTGTTAGTATTTCATTTTTACTAATCTTTTGGAGCTATTTTTTTTACTGTTATGCTTTCAATAATTAACATTCTTTTTGTGCAGGCTCCAAATATCGTTCATAGCGATGGCAGTTTAAATTGTTGTTGTGAAGGTAAATGAATAGCTTATTATCTTTTCGATTTGTTACATTTATCTAATGTCTTCCATTTTTCTTTATGATGATTTTTAATCTGTATTTATAACCAGGCCAAGCTTTCTGTACTCCTGGTACTGTGTGTCCTCCAAATTCTAAAAGTTGTGGCAGTGAATCAATTAAAGGTACTGCACCCTTTTCCTTTTTGCTAATGTATATTTTTTGCCATTTCTTTGTATTCATGTCTTGATTTCCTAATTTAATTTTTCTACATGTGCAGAACCACCTGCTCTTCTTACAAAAATTGCGATGGAGTTTAAGTCCAGGTTAGCTGAATTTAACAACCGTGACAACAGAGGTCACATTTATGATGAGGATAAACTTGCATTTGACATTTTCCATGAATACAATATTGGCGAGAATGTTTGCACACCAGATACTTTGAAATCACATACACATGGCAAAGAAAATGAAGCACCTGCAAATGTGAGTCTTTTTTCTTTTTCCAATTTGTTTCCTGATATTTTTTTTGTTTTGATTTATATTTGTGATTTCATATTTTGTATTATAATTCGTGTTATTTATTATTGAAGCCTGCCACTTTTGCTGGTCCTGATTATATGACTCCACCACTTGGTACAAGAACCAGATTGAACAATAACACTTATAGAAGACATGCTAATCTGAACCCCTCTCAAATTGGCATGAAGAGAACATTCCAAGATTTAACTGTGAGTGAACTATATCCATTAGATATACATTCTGCTTTGTTTTTATATTTTTTAGAGCATCTCTTTTTTTAAAAGATGGTGTGTTTTCATATATTTTCAATAAGTTCCATAGTTGCTTCACCACCACTGTATTCTTATCAGCGCCATTAAATAGTACCTATCAATGTTTAGTTATTTACTAAACTTTCACAACATTATCTTTCTCTTTTTGCTCTAGTATTTTAGCTGCTTTCATAGTCACTTAACTTGTTTGCGTTATTTTTTTCCCAGAACTCACCAAATGACATTTGCAATACAACTAAGCAGCTGACAAACTCATCTCATGCGTCGATTCCTTGTATTAACAATTCTGGACTTAGCTCTTCTGGTGGTAAAGTGCCTCTGTATGGGCCAAGGAGGATTATACATCCTGCCAAGCACAGAAGTGACCCATTTGTTTGTCCAAGGCGTCGTTTTGTTGTATCAGACAATGCACACAGATATTACAATGCTATTTGTAGCTTGTCAGATAGTGAATATCAAGAGTAATTTAATTCTTTTTTTTTGTTTTTCTCAATTCGTGTGTTCTTTTTTATTATATTTTTTTGTTGTATTACTTTCTCTCAATGAAGCTTTTTATATCTTTTTCTGCAGCGAGGATGCTGTTAACATTGATAATGTTCGCATCTCATTTTGCAACTTCGGCAATTCTTTGAAAAAGGGAGGAGATGTTAATGGATTTGTGATCTCTGCATTTTGCCAGTCCTTGTTTCACAAAAACCATCCATCCAAATCCAAGAAGAACTACTTTTTTCCTTCCATTGGTGTAAGTTATCCTTTCCTTTTTCCACCTCATTTTTTTCTATATCCCCCTGTATGTTTCCCTATATATATTGAAATTGAATTCTTTTTTATTTTTATTGTGCCTTCTATATATTTCTAGGACATGCTAATATCACATCTTAACTCTAAAGAGCTAGCAAAAATTGAGAAATCCTTCCAAGGAGCAGCAATGGTAAGAATATTGCACAAATGCGATTTGGTAATTATCTAGTTTGATTTTTTTTCTTTGTATGCCCCTTATGTACAAACACATGCTAAACACTATTTTGGCTTACAGCTTTTCTTTCCCATTTGTTACCTGGAGCATTGGTTCCTTTTTGTGGTGGATATAAAAGACAGGATGCTTGTATTTCTTGATTCTTTGCATGAAAAGGATGATCCATATTTTGATCCAATCATGGATTTGATGGTATGGTGTCATACATTTATTGTTATATCAATCAAGTAGTTTCAAAGATTTTAGAATATATTTTTGTTTCTTTTATGTGTAGCTATATATTGTTCTCTAAATATTGTTTCTTTCAGATAAGCAATCTACAAAATGCTTGAGATGAAGCTGAAGAAAGTGCTATGGATTTCAACAGTTTTGAGATATTTTTCCCACCTGTTCCTCGCGAAGAAAACAAGTTAGTTCATTTGCACTGTTATTTTTTTTCTATTGAGAACATTATTCTTTTAGTTATCTATCTGAACTTTTTTTAAAATGTTGTTTTCTCTGTAGTGCTGATTCTGGTATATTTGTGATGAAATCCATCGAACTCTGGTCTCCAAGATCTCTATTGTGTAATGAGTTTGACAAAAGTGACATCGACATAATCCGCATTCAGCTTGCTAATAAGATTTTCTTCAACGAAAAAAACAAAATGCTACAAACTGAGACTGAACATTTGGTTCAGAGTTGGGCCAGTAAAGTAAGCTCTTATTGCTTTTTTTTTCTTTTCCTAAGTATTCTTTGTGCATCGTAGAGTTATTTTTGTACTAATTTTCTACCGTTTATAAATTTATTGTAGGGAAATTTGTCATGTGCTGGCAAACGTGATCAAGTTTGAAGATTCTGGATTTTTGCTCTGTAGAATTGAAATGTATAGGTTACAATGTTCTTAGGAGGCTTCCAGTATTGCCACATAATATTTTCCATGTTTAGAAAATAGCAACCATATTGAAATGGTTCATGCCAAGTACAATGATGTCAAACTCAGTACTAAATATATAGAACATCCACTGTTACATGATGTCTTGTTCTTCTCTCTCAACAAGATATATGCTTTTTTTGCCCTAACTATTACATGAGAACATTCTAGTTACATATTTTTCTTGCCCTGTTTTTACCTATTATTTCTTTGGTGTTGTTTTCCTGTCCTTTCTTCCGCCTCTTTGGTTTTGGTTGCATCTCACAAGCAGTCCCACCTTGCGCAACATTACTTGTTCTCTTTGTCTTCAACTGATTCTCATTACTTTGGCCACCTGCAACAGATTTATATTTATTTTATCAGCTGTATTGCTGGAAATCGACAATTTTGTGGAAAAGTTAAGATCAATGTTTTATTCTTCCCCTTACTCTTGCCTTTGTATTTTTTGCATTCTTTATCCATAATCTTTTCCACCAATCTTTTCTGCCTTATTGATTTCCTGCCTTTTGTATTAGCTTGCTCTGGGTCTTCAATTTCCTCTTCATCATTCAGATTCCCATGTTGTTGCCCCTCAACAACAGCGTTGTTTGTTGCATTACTTTGGACCTGGCATGTGTGATTTCCATGGGCTTCTAGAATCATGCTGTCCACTATGCTATCCAACTTCTCCACTTCTCCAACCAGGTAACTATATATCTCTGGTCTCTTACAACCCTTTGATGCTAATTCTGACATTTTTTGCGAGAGCACGTTGTACATTAGCATAGCATTAGGTCCATTACTTGATTCTCCTCTGAATAGACCTGTTATGTTGTTGTCTTTCTTCCTCCACCTTTCTATGATGTATTTGTTCGGAATTTTGCTAACATTTAGGTCCAACATTACTTTCAGGATATGGGAGCAAAGGATTCCATCCTTCGAGAACTTTGCACACACACAGGAGTACTCATCATTTTGTAAGTCTGTGAGAACTACATAATTCCTTGCTCTCCATTCCTTCTTTTTTGATTTAGAGCCAAGAATACCAAGTATGCTTTGCCATGTTCAAGCACTGTCACCTGAAGCCTTGTTGATTTCTTTAATTCAAGCTGGAACTTTTTGAAAATGCTTAAATTGTACATCTCCGAAGCTTGCTCTTCTATGTAGTATCCTGACCATAGATTTTTGGGTTGTTTTGTGTTTGAGTTATAGGCATTCCAATACAGTGTATCAAATATAGTGTCATTTATTCTGTCATATTCCTTTAGGAAGCTTGTAACACTATGCCTTGGCCCAACTCCTCTTTTAAACCTTGCATTAGTCCCTTCACTTAGCGTTGTGCTTTGAATAAATGGGAAAAAGTCATTCTTGCAATAGACAGGGATGCAGCTTTGTCTTGTATCCCAAATTGATTGCAAGTATTTCACATTGTGCAGCTCATATTTATCAATCATTTGTGTCACAAGGTTTCAAACTCATGCTCTGTCAAACAATTGTTAACAATGTCTTCAAATTCATTGTATAGATCTTTCTTTGTACTGTCAGTGAATGTGTTACCTGTTCTCTCTCTGCAATTTTCTTGATATGAAATAGGCAGTTCCTATGCTTGGTTTTCTTGAACACTTGCCCTATTGCAGATCTCATTGCACTGTCTTGGTCTGTTATTATGCTAATAGGATCTTTGCCTCTCATAGCTGTCCTGAATGTCTCAAAAACCCACTTAAATGTCTCAGTTGTCTCATCTCCTAGGAATGCACACCCAAAAAGACATGTGTTTCCATGGTCTGTCATCCCAACAAATGGAGCAAACGGCAAGTCATATTTGTTTGTCTTATAAGTTGTATCAAAGCTGACACAATCACCATATTGACCATACAACACTGTCGATCTGCCATCTGTCCAGAACATATTTCTGACTTTGTTGTTCTCATCTAGCATGAGCTTGTAATAGAAACCTGGGTCTTGTGCTTCTTTTTTCTTCAGATACTACAACACTTGACTCATATCCTTGCTTCTTGTTTCAAAGTTAATCGATGCACCAACATTGCTAACATCCTCCTTCGTGTAGGGCAATGATGGCAACCCTCCACGGAGAAATGACAGGATCACAATCATACTCCTCGTTGGTATGTTGCATTCCTTTAGCGTCCTAATTGATGGAATAAGCCTTGTGGTCTTTGGTCCTTGTGGTCCTTCTCTTGCTTTTAGGTTGTTTTTCCCCTTTTAGGACAGCATCCTTTCAGTTTTGCTTTTAGCATCTTTCGGTTTTGCTTTTAGCTTCCCTAGGACAGTATCTAGCATCTCCTTTATGCTTTATTTAGTTTGGATGCTCTCTAGGACAGCATCACGTTCAAATTTTAGACTAGTGTGGGCAGCAATTAGCTAGCAGCCATCCAGCCAGCTATGGCTATATATATATATGTATCCAACCTCCCTCGGGAAGGTATGGCTTTGTGTTTTGTGAATGAAGAAAACCAGAAAATTGCCCCATCTCTAGTGCCATCCTCTTCTCAATGAGAGTAACCATTGAAATTCTAACATCTAGTATCAGAGCCACACTTTCCTGTAGGCAAAACATCTCGTGTTCCACCCCTTACCAAGCTCGGTTGAGCTCTCAGCCAGCAGCAGCAGCAGCACCCGCTGCTCCTCCTTCCCCTTTCCCTTCCCCTTCTCCACGCAGCAGCCCCCCGGAGGCACGCCATGTCCGACGTTCGGTCTCGGCGTTCGGTCGCCTTGAGCACTCGGCGTCAGTAGGACGTCGAGCTCACCGCAGCAGAAGAGCGCAGGTGAGCAACGGCTCAGACCGCTGCAGCAGCAGCGAGGGTGGCCAGACTGGCAGCAGCGGAGTTGGCAGCTGCCAGCGCGGAGGTGGAAGCAGAGGCGGCGGAGGATGCGGCACGTGCGGCGGAGGCAGAGGTTGAGTCCTTGCGCAGCAGCATCAACGGCTCCATCGCCGGTGACATCACCGCCGACAGGGAGTTTGAGGAGCTGGCAAGAGGAAGGGCGCGGGAGCGGGGCTGAGCGGTGGGCAGCAGCCCACCCCCACGGCGGCGGCGGTGACCCAAGGGACCGCACGGCCGCTGACGGGAACCCAGACGGGCGCAGGCGTGCCAGCGCCAGCCCTGAGCGCGCGCGCGGCCGTGGCGCTCCCGGTGGAGGTGGCTGGTTCGACGGAGAGCGCGGCCCTCGCAGGCAGCGCGGCTCTCCCTCCCCTGACCGGCGCCATGGCCACCACGGCGTTCAGACGGTGGTCAGGGACTTTGGTCCCGGCGGAGGGTGGCCTACCCTCACCAAAACCAACTACATCGAGTGGGCCGCGGTGATGAGGGTGAGGCTCCAGGTGTGACACATGTGGGAGGCAGTCTGGTACGGCGACGTCGACTACGACAAAGATCGACGGGCGCTGGATGCCCTCATCACTGCAGTCCCGCCCGAGATGCAGTTCTCGCTTTCCCAGAAGCGGACTGCCAAGGAGGCCTGGGACGCTATCGCTGCGGCACGCATCGGCAGCGACCGCGCCCGCAAGTCCACGCTGCAGGCACTCCGCAAGGAGTGGGAGAACCTGGCCTTCAAGCCAGGTAAGGATGTTGATGACTTTGCCCTCCGTCTCAACAATCTTTTGCAGAAGATGGTGCAGTGCGACGACGACACCTACGACGAGGAGAGAGCTGTCGAGAAGCTCTTCCACTGCGTCCCAGAGAAGTACAGGCAGATCGCTCGCTCGATCGAGTCTCTGCTGGACCTCTCCACGATGTCGATTGAGGAGGCGTTGGGTCGCCTCAAGGTCGTCGACGATGATGAGCCACAGCCTCTCTCGGGGCCTATCACCATTGGCGGGAAGCTCCATCTCACTCGGGAGCAGTGGGAGGCCTCTCAGAGTGACGGAAGAAAGGGGGAGTCTTCTCCCTCGATAGGCGGCCGCAAGCCGCGCAAGGCATGCGGAGGTGTCCAGCTGCGGTGGGCGCGAAGACGCGCCGAGGGTGGCGCTCGCAGAGGTGCCCAGGGCGGCGCCGCCAGCAACCACAAGCCGGCACGAGACGACACCTGCCGCAACTGTGGCAAGCTTGGCCATTGGGCCAAAGACTGTCGACAGCCACGACGTGGCCAGGCCCACGTCGCACAGGTGGAGGAGGAAGAGCCGGCTCTGCTCCTGGCACACGCAAGCATCGAGCTTCCTCCAGCGGCACCGGCCGCAGCGGCTTTCCTCCACCTTGATGAGCCGAAGGTACTCGTCTCTCTCTGCAACAGCTCCAGCAACAACAAGGCTGATGGGTGGTACCTCGACACCGGCGCCACCCATCACATGACCGGCCGACGGGAGTTCTTCACCGAGTTCGACCCCGGCGTCCGAGGCTCCATCAAGTTTGGGGACGCCTCCGGCGTGGAGATCAAGGGCGTTGGCTCCGTCACCTTCACCGCCAAGTCCGGTGAGCACAGGCTGCTCACCGGAGTTTACTACATCCCCGCGTTGAGGAATTCTATCATCAGCGTGGGACAGCTGGATGAGAACGGCTCACGCGTGTTGGTCGAGGACAGACTCATGAGGATTTGGGATCGCCGTCGTCGCCTTCTTGCCAAGGTAACCAGAGGCACTAATCGACTCTACATCCTCGGCGCGCAGGTCGCACAACCAGTTTGCCTCACCGCTCGTCGGGACGACGAGGCATGGCAGTGGCACGAGCGCTTCGGGCACCTCCACTTCGAGGCCCTGAAGCACCTCAGTGCCAAGGAGATGGTGCGAGGCATGCCGTGCCTTGACCATGTGGAGCAGCTCTGCGACGTCTTCATGGTAACGAAGTAGCGGCGGCTCTCCTTTCCCCAGCAGACGAGCTTCCGAGCCAAGGAGCGGCTCGAGCTCGTGCACGGGGACTTGTGTGGCCCAGTGACACCGGCCACACCAGGAGGACGATGTTACTTCCTGCTGCTCGTCGACGACCTCTCCCGCTACATGTGGGTGATGGTCCTCGGCAGCAAGGGAGAGGCTGCGGATGCCATCAGGCGCGCGCAGGCCGCTGCAGAGGTGGAGTGCGGCCGCAAGCTGCGCGTGCTGCGCACCGACAACGGCAGCGAATTCACGGCGGCTGAATTCGCGTTGTACTGCGTTGATGAGGGCATTCAGCGCCACTACACCGCGCCGTACAGCCCGCAGCAGAACGGCGTCGTTGAGCGGCACAACCAGACGGTTGTGGGGATGGCTCGGGCTCTCCTCAAGCAGAGGGGGATGCCGGCCATCTTCTGGGGGGAGGCGGTGGTGACAGCCGTCTACATCCTCAACCGCTCGCCTACCAAGGCCCTCGATGGCAGGACACCGTACGAGGCTTGGCATGGACGCAAGCCGGCGGTCTCCCACCTACGGGTCTTTGGCTGCCTCGCGTTCGCCAAGGAGCTTGGCCACATCGGCAAGCTTGACGACAAGAGCACCCCAGGGGTGCTCATCAGCTACGCGGAGGGCTCGAAGGCCTACCACATCCTCGACCCGGAGACACAGCGTGTGCGCACAGCGCGCGACGTAGTGTTCGACGAAGGGCGAGGGTGGGTATGGGACAAGGCGGTGGATGATGGTTTGACTCCGACGTACGACGACTTCACCATCGAGTACGTCCACTTCGAGGGAGCTGGGGGAGTAGGCAGCTCTTCTTCACCGAGCGTGTCTACCCAGTCCCCGAGCCTCCACCGACTCCAACACCAACACAACCTCGGGCAACGACTTCGACTACGACGAGCTCTTCGTCGACACCACCCCAGTCGGTGTCCCCACGTGCTCCAGCACCAACAGCCACTCCTCCGGGCACGTCTACTCCGACGCCAGCTCGTGTTGAGCGCAGCCCGGTGGAGTTCGCTACTCCACTCTCCCACGACGGGGAGCGCATCGACGCGTACCACGACGGCGAGCAGCTACGGTACCGTACGATGGAAGATCTTCTCAGCGACCAGCCGGTGCCGGGACTGGTGCCTCGCGACCTAGAGGCGCAGTTGCACCTTGCGTGTGATGACGGTGAGCCTGGGTCTTTTGCAGAGGCCGAGAAACATGCGGCATGGCGTGCCACGATGCAGTCGGAGATGGACGCGGTTCAGGAGAACCGCACCTGGGAGTTTGCTGACCTCCCTCGTGGTCACCGCGCGATCACCCTTAAGTGGGTGTTCAAGCTGAAGAGGGATGAAGCCGGAGCCATCGTCAAGCACAAGGCTCGCTTGGTGGCACGCGGCTTCGTGCAGCAGGAGGGGATCGACTACGACGATGCCTTCGCTCCCGTGGCACGGATGGAGTCCGTGCGACTCCTCCTTGCGCTGGCTACTCAGTAATTCTGGGGTGTCCATCACATGGACGTCAAGTCGGCATTTCTGAACGGCGACTTGAAGGAGGAGGTCTACGTGCACCAGCCGCCGGGATTCGTGCTCCCCAGCAAGGAGGGCAAGGTGCTACGCCTGCACAAGGCCCTCTACGGCTTGCGGCAGGCACCGAGGGCGTGGAATGCCAAGTTGGATTCCACGCTCAAGGGGATGGGCTTCGAGCAAAGCCCGCACGAGGCGGCCATCTACCGGCGGGGCAATGGAGGAAATGCCTTGCTGGTGGGTGTCTACGTCGACGACTTGGTGATCACTGGCACCAAGGATGCGGAGGTGGCGGCATTCAAGGAGGAGATGAAGGCCACCTTCCAGATGAGTGATCTGGGGCCTCTCTTCTTCTACCTGGGGATCGAAGTGCACCAGGACAACTTCGGGATCACGCTTCGACAGACCGCCTACGCCAAGCGCGTCGTTGAGCTGGCTGGGCTCACCGATTGCAACCCAGCTCTCACTCCGATGGAGGAGAGACTGAAGCTGAGCCACGACAGCACGGCGGAGGAGGTGGATGCTACACAGTACCGGCGCCTTGTGGGGAGCCTTCGCTACCTCACCCACACACGGCCGGACTTGGCCTTCTCCGTCGGCTACGTCAGTCGGTTCGTGCAGTGACCGACGACGGAGCACCAGCAGGCTGTGAAGAGGATCATCCGCTACATTGCGGGGACTCTCGACCACGGTCTCTACTACTCGAGGTGTCCTGGCAAAGCACACTTCCTCAGGTACAGCGACAGCGACCACGCCGGCGACATCGACACCAGCAAGAGCACGAGCGGGATTCTCTTCTTCCTCGGCGAGTGCCTCGTTAGCTGGCAGTCGGTCAAGCAGCAGGTGGTGGCCCTGTCCAGCTGCGAGGCTGAGTACCAGGCGCTCTGGCTTGCTCGACTGCTTGGTGATCTCCTCGGCAGAGACACTGGAGCGGTAGAGCTCAGGGTGGACAGCAAGTCCGCTCTGGCCCTGGCAAAGACCCCCGTTTTCCACGAACGGAGCAAGCACATCCGGGTGAGGTACCACTTCATCCGAAGCTACTTGGAGGAAGGGAGCATCAAGGCGAGCTACATCAACACCAAGGACCAGCTTGCGGACTTGCTCACCAAGCCTCTTGGGAGGATCAAGTTCCTCGAGCTCTGCTCCAGGATCGGGATGGCCCAACTTTCCCACAAGACGACACACAAGACTTAGGGGGAGAATGATGGAATAAGCCTTGTGGTCTTTGGTCCTTGTGGTCCTTCTCTTGCTTTTAGGTTATTTTTCCCCTTTTAGGACAGCATCCTTTCAGTTTTGCTTTTAGCATCTTTCGGTTTTGCTTTTAGCTTCCCTAGGACAGCATCTAGCATCTCCTTTATGCTTTATTTAGTTTGGATGCTCTCTAGGACAGCATCGCGTTCAAATTTTAGACTAGTGTGGGCAGCAATTAGCTAGCAGCCATCCAGCCAGCTATGGCTATATATATATATGTATCCAACCTCCCTCGGGAAGGTATGGCTTTGTGTTTTGTGAATAAAGAAAACCAGAAAATTGCCCCATCTCTAGTGCCATCCTCTTCTCAATGAGAGTAACCATTGAAATTCTAACACTAATCAGCCTCTTCTCTTCCTCTGTCATATTCTTGTGTGAACGGAGGAACTTTTTTTTTGTTCATTCGGGCGTAGAGGGTGATTGTGAGTCAGGTCTAACCTCGAAATCTTCCACGGTCCATTTTCTACTGTCTCTTTAACAACCATTACACGCTTGTAGTCAGACCTTATCAGAACATTAGTTTGCCTCTCAGTCTGAAACTGCTCCTCTAAGTCTTTGTTGTTATCCTCATTCTTGCCATGTAAATTGCATTTGTATGTGTATCTGGTAATCTCGTTGTTTCTCTTCTTGCTTATAGTTCTATACGTGTGTGTAATAGCAACTGAGAACCCAACCAGATAAGCATAAAAGTTAAAAAAACCCATGAGCCTCATTGTAATCCTTGAACTGCATTCCAATATGTGGCATGTGTTTGCTATCTATTGTTGGGGTGCTCTCTTCATCTTCTTCCAAAAAATTGTCTATATCTTGCTCAGTTATCAACTGATTACTTTCAGTCTCTGGATTGCTATTTTCCTGCATCTGGGGTTCTGTGGCCACAACCTGATCTCTGTGTTCTTCTTCATCAGCTCTAATTTTGTCCACCAGATCAATTGTCGAGTTCTCAGTGTGAGCTTATTGTCCCTGCATTTTGCCATGTGCTTTTAAGTATTCTTTTTTTATATCACTAAATTGTGTGATGTACTTTTTTATATTTTAAGTTAATTAAATTAAGAAATTTCTTACCTCAGAGGTTTCATTGTTTGATTCAAATGCCCAGGTGTTTTGGTTCTCACTGTCTTCATCATCCTGGTTGTTCGATGTGGTGCCATTGTTTTCCAATTCCGATGCGCTGACATTGTTTTCAACTTCCGGTGTGCTGCCATTTACAACCTGCATTATGTAAGTAACAAATACTTAATGTTTTCCACACCTATATACTTATTTCGATCATATGGTATAATCTGTATGATTTTCTTATTACCTGATGCGTGTTGTTGATGTTGTATAGTTCATCTATATCTTTTTTGCTCCATCGACTGGCAAGTGTCTTGATAATAGAAGATAATCCCTGCTGATTGTTCATGTTGATGTTGTATAGTTCTTCTATATTCTTGCTTGCCCATTGATCACAAATTGCCTTGATAACAAAACAGATTAAAATTCATAATTTTACATAAATATTTTTTTTGTTTGACATGTACTGTTGCGAATTGGTCACCTGTGTTCCTTGTTCTATTTCACCTCCCATTTGCTCATAGTTCTCAGGAAACCTATTGCTCGTCATTATCATTGAGTTCTACAATGATAAAATATCAAGGAATTATAACAAATCTAAATACCATGTTACCTTATGTAAAGTTTTTTAACCAAAAAGATTATTTCATTTTTCACCTCAAATCCAGCTGGAGTATGTAAGATATCTCTGGACATGCCCAAATAATCTTGATCAGCATTTATAGCACTTTTTGGAGTTTGCATTATTTCGTGCATCAACCCTGTGAAGGTACATTGTTGCCCCTGCAAGAATTTGTGCATTACAATCTAAACCTGTTTTTTTTTTGCATGCTGAGTAATTTCTGTAGATATTTTTCCAAAAATATGCCATGTGACTCACAATCCTCGTAGAATCTGACATCATTTGGTGCTCATCATACAACATGGTGTGCCCATAGAGTGTCATATTTCCTGCCCCTGCAAAATTAGCTCAGTTTATAATCTAGTTATATAATATTTACACCCTAGTTACAAGGCAGTTACAAGGTAGTTACATGGCAGTTACAGCGTAGTTACATGCCAGTTACAGGGTAGTTACATAGCAGTTACATGGTAGTTACATGGAAGTTACAGGGCATGCATTGGAATTGAGCATGAGCTCCTATGTCACTAGTCTTTTTTCATCTTGTTTGCTTAAGTTGTATGCAGCTTTTAGGCATTGTGTTGAAAGATGATTTTTTAGTGGTGCATGTATCATTGTGTAAAAAAGAAGCAAAAGCATCAGAGTGTGATAATCCAGTTATCCAGTTACATGAAGCAGTTACAAGAGTGTTTTGTATGATGCAAGAGCATTAAAACTACTGGACATCGGCTAGTTGCTAGCTAGGGTTAGTTTTGTTACCCAGGTAGCTTTGTAACTGCTTTTTTTGGGAGTTTATGTCGTTCATATTTTATCATTTGCAAGATTAATTGTTGGACTGTTTTCTAAGTGTACATGGTAGATGAAACCTGAATTAGCATTTTTCTATCTATCTAAATGTGACTGATTTTTTTGCCTGTGATGCTCAGATCTAAATGCTGAACAGAAGAAAATGAGATGGGGGTGAAGAGTTCTTGGGAAAAAAACTGAAATTGCAACGTAATCTTAAAAGTATGTGAGAAATTCAACCTGGAGGAGCAGATGTTGGTTCATTTCTTGGATTTTCCTCCATCTCTTTTTTTCTTCTCCTTTCGGCTGTGTTCTTGAGTTCTTTTAGATCTGCTTCTTGTTTCGAATCCTTTTTTTTGGCTGTGTGATGCCCGAGCTTTTTCTTTCTTGATATGCAAGTTGATCTCTATCTGGGCCTGTGTTTTGTTCTCTTCATGGGCTTAGTAATTAAATTCTGAGTAGTCTAGTTTTTGGGATGGGTCTTTTGTTTTGTAGGTATGTTTTGTTTTTTATTTAAAAGATTGGCATGTTTAGTGTTTCTTAACGGGCCCGCGCACTTTAAACAGGTTGGTTCTATGCTTTCAGCTGGTCCAGACCCGTTTCCTGTAACCCATTGATTGCAGATCGTGAGGTGCAAAAATTTGACTGCTCTGGACCTCAAAAACTGTGGACAGCCCAATAGCTAGTCCCGTTAGGATATCTCAACTTTTTTTTTTTTGAGTCATCACTTCCCCCTGTCGGGGAAGAGCCGAAGAGGGTGAGGAAAGGATGGCTTCCCCCTTGCGACGACTGCGATCATGGCGGGTTTCTCGCGGCGCCACCTCGCCGTGTTCTACGTCGGCGGCGTCAATGGCAGCGGCCAGGACAACCAACACCCTCCACCGCCTTCTACCCCTTGCCCGCGCCGTCCACTCGTCGCTGCCGCCGAGCAGGTACGGCGATCCCCGTTCGCCTCCGCAGGCCCGTCGTCCCAGCGGCGAAGTTGAGGTGCGCCCCGTCTCCATCTTCTCATCGACCTAATCGAGCTCCTCAAGTGACGGACCTCTGGAATTTTGAGGGCCTCTGCCCTAATTTTTAGCATTAGGGTTTATGGTCCACTCCTAAATAATCAATCAATTGTGGATACTCCTTTTCCGATAAATTCGGCCTTTTTAATATTAGAGTTGTATGCGTTTTTCTACCATATTAAGAATTAATTCTTATGTCATTATAAACAAAAAAAATGCTTGAAAATTTAGTTTATAGTGGTTGTGATTTGAAACAGCCTAATTCTAACTCTGAATCGAAACATTCTGATTGATCGTGCAATATAATTCAGTTGAATGTTAAGCTTTCTTGAATCGGTTGTTATATGGCATACCCCGTCGGTATTCATGTTGGCACCTGTGTCTTTGTAGCTCTCTAAACTGGAAAAGACGCCCTCTGACCGTTTCGACGAGATCGAAGCTGCCATTCATGCCAATCTCGTCAACGACATTGAGGCCTACAAATCAAGCCTTATGGCAGACCATGGTTTCTTTGAAAGAATGCTTACCTCTATGGGGATAAAAAAGAGTTACACTCGTGACCAAACTCTATGGTTGTGCAAGCTGATTCTCATCTTCTTTGCCTCAGGGTCTGTTGGGATTGGATTTGCCAAGATCGATGACCGTCTGAAACAGGTTATTGATCTTCCTGCCCTCCTGCTAACTTGCATAAGCAGAGACGCATTTTCTGAATTGTAGGTAGGTCCAAGAATAGTGAAAAACATGTGCTTATATACTCTACACATAGTTATACTGCAATTATCTGGTCACCCTGTTCTGCAGCAAAATCTACTGTTGACACAACAGTAGCCATGCAAAAGTTTTTACCATACAACTATCGATTACACTAAAGGATCTATATATGGAAGCAAGACATTAAGCACATAGGTTGTACCCTTGATGTCTCGGTGTAAATTAGGAATATAGGATGCACAGTTTCAGTAGAAGCACTATGTAGATGCTGATCAGTTTGCTCTTTGTTAAATAAGTTCCAAATTGATGATTTGGACACCCTGCATGTACCCTTGTGTTCTCGTTTAGTATTTCGGCTTTACTTTTAGTTTGCACAGGAGAGCACTCTTGATTTTCTTAGTACATAATCAGTTCATCATTCTACTTGCCTACATTTAAGTTAATTAATTCTGTCTCTTCATTTAAGTTTGTTGAAATTTGAGAAAAGAATATGAATAATGTAGTACGCTTTTCTCATTTGAAGTTAAGGAACTGTTAGATTCTATAGAATGACTAGTACGCCCTTGTTTAATGCTACTGTATGGTAGTTACACATATAAAGGGGACTCTGGACTCAGCTTTGTTATTGATAGCACATCCCAACTGATAAGTCATTTAGTATCATATTTCTTGCCAGTTGTACTAGTAGATCCTGAATCCTTAGTCCTTACCCAGAGGGAGTATTAACTGGAATCCACTGTGCATGCAAGCCTCATTCGTAAAAGCATTTTACGATTTCATAACTTTGTGAGCTCAAAACTACAAAGAAATCACCTTGTACATCTATAAGAACAGCTCCTCAACAATCCTTGCTGCTCTGCACACAGTAGGGCGATAAAAGAAACTATTATTTGCAGACTTTATATGCCACAGTTGTTTATTCTCTACATGTTCTTTCTTCTGCTTTCACGAGTCCATAGTAAAGTTTTTTTTGCAAATAACTTGTGATTATCTTTGCAGGCTCCATCAAATGCTTTATAACTGAGCAACAAACATGTCTGTTGTTTGGCCTGCTTAAAATTAAGCTGTTGATCACCTCGCAACCTATTCTGCATTTATCGGCCTGCCCTCGACGAGGTTGAACTCGATTTATCAGTGCTGTAGATTGTCTGCTGGGATGGTGTACGTGTGCACGGGCGTCTGCTCGATGTGGAAACCGATGGTGGCCGTTCAGAGCTTGGCGAGGGCGGTGAGGGCATTGGAGCATGTAGGCCGGAGAGGATGAGGTGAGACAGCGGCGCTGGATCCATGGTGGGTAACAAGAGGCACCAGCGACAACCTGGGCAGCCTTGCACCGTTGTGCTTCAGAGCTCCATCAGGAACTATTTCTTTTACTCATAGTAAATCTTTTGTTTTTGTTTAGGGCAGTCAAGTCGGGCTTTTTTATGTTTGTGTTTAGATAATTGAACATCTACTTTGACCGACATTACTACTGCAGTATTGCAGCTTATTACCAGATCATGCTCACGGGTTAAATTTCTTTATCCAAACGTCTTGACTGACATAACCTCCGTACTAATGCAGCTTATTAGTTATTACTACTGACTTTCTGGTATGCTTGGAATCAAATAATTCTTTTCCTTTTTGTCGGCCTTGATATTTAGATTAATAAGACTAAGGCTGTGTTTAGTTCCTGAAAAAAGTTGGAAGTTTGGGGAAAGTTGGAAGTTTGGAAAAAAAATTGGAAGTTTATGTGTGTAGGAAAGTTTTGGATGTGATGTGATGTGATGGAAAGTTGGAAGTTAGGGTTGAACACAGCCTAAGTGATATCTGTATGGGTCCATATTCTCCCAGCAAACACAACTACAATCCATGCATGGGCATGGCCAGTGAAAAAGCTGCACTGGAGTTCCAACTGGACAAATGGATGAAGCAGTTTCATAAAGTGCATGCAGGTTCCTAAATTTCTCGTTGTATTGTTTTTGCTGCAATCAGTTTCAGCTAGATGGTCTTTATCTTACTTATGGAGTACATGGAAACATTGTATTCACCCTCAAAACAATAAGAAACTGAAGAAGCTTCAGCAGGGTACTCATTGGATCCAGATCCTCTGCATTGGAGAAGCTAATGCAGAGGGTGGCATTAGCTCGAATCCTATCTATCCATCGTCATCCAACGGTTGCTGCTGCTTCTTCCTTCATTCTTCGCTACTGGTACCAGAAACGAACAACCACAACAGCGCAGCAACGACGACTCCTTCGCTTCGTCGATCTCGACCGCTACGCCTGATGCACACAACGGCACAAAACCACGTCACAAGTCACAACCTCACATAGTCATCACGTGTTCGATCGCCTTTAAAAAGCATTTTCGCCGACGTTGACCTTTCTTGTTCACTGCGGTTATGACCATCGGAGTGAAAACCCCGCCGGCCAAAAAAAGAAGATGACGTTAAATAGAATGTTTAAATAGAATGATCATAAATAGAATGAAAGTGGAAAAAATAAAGAAAATAATAAAGAAATAAAGAAAGAAGTAAAAATTACTACTCCTTCCACATTTTTAATAGATGGCGTTATTTAATATTTTATCATCGTCATAATAAAAATATGAAAAATACAAGTAATATATATATATATGATACTTGGATAGTTTTCTTAATAAGACAATGTCCAAATATCATATGCAAAAGTCAACAACGTCATCCATTAAAAAAATTATAAATGAAGCATTTTTAAATTGGATAAATAAGATATTGTTAACAACAAAATTTGGTAATCTGAGTATCGGAGATGAAGATTAGATCGAAGCGGAATCCAAGATCAAGATCGTTTCAGAAACAAAGCAAGAATCGGCTGGAGTCCAAATCGGCTACGATCAGGATCGGCAGAGTTCGAGTCGGACAGGGTTAGCCGATTGAGCCGATTCCGGCAATACGACTCGGTGTACGTCATCGGGTTGAGTTAAAGTGCTTCATATGGATTGCCATACACGGATTGAGTCCTAAAAAGGCAATTGTATATATTAATTAGGATATTTTATGTAAATTCCTTAGAGATAAGTTTGGGTAAAAGTCTGCCGCAAAAACTTATGATATCTTAGAGTTTGTTAGAGATAAGAGTCGTGTCCGACAAGGACATATTTTGTAATCTCGGGTATAAATAGACCCCGAGCCCCATGTAATACGACAACACACGTTCAACAACAATTTCGGCGCATCGCCACTCTTTTACTTTCGTTTTGTTTCGATGAGTTCTTACTTTTGGGTTGAGCTGCATCAGTTTTGATCTTCAACTAGAGGTAAAGCTTGTTATGGCGGCTTGTGTTCTCGGGATTAGTGCTTCTATCTTTATGATACTCTAATCTTGTTCATGTAAGTTGTCGAATTATCATATATCTTATATAATCTCTGACAATATCGCTATTTAATCTCTGATCGGCTAATATCTATCGCTAGGGAGCAGCTGATTAGGTTAAATATCGATGTTGGCTTAGATTATATAGGATATCCACCACTCTATAAAACTTTCAATAGCTTGATTGTATAGATATTGTCTTTCTTTTCATACTTATGGCTGCATCAGTTGAGTTTGATCTCATAAGTCGTGCCTAGAATTATAATCTCTAGCTTGCTTCTTGGTTGTTGAGTAGAGTAGCATCGGGGTTTCAGCCGATCTTACCTGATTTAGCTTTATGTCTTATGTGCTCAATTGTTATGCTAAATCTGCTCTTTGTGTTAAGATCCTATTGCATTTAGGTGTATTAAGCTCTATGTTTGATATATTTTACTTGCTTTAATATCTTAATATAGAGTGGTATCGGAGTATTAGCCGATACACGCTAGATCTATCTGATCGGCTATGTTGTGAACATCTATAATCTCATTGTTAATATATATTTCGATCTAAGTGATTTATACTGTCTCGGCATGACGACCGATCTATCCCAATCACTTGGTTTAAGTATATATCGACATAAAGATTATATATTGCTAACATCTACAGCCGATCGAGTAGATTTAGTTATGATTTGCTTATTCACAACTGCCGATCGATTCATATATGACATCGGCTCGAAGATAAATGATATGTCATCGGCGGCTGGCCGATCGGCTATCATTTATGGATTTAACTGCGGTTTCTTTATCTTTATTTCTTGTTGATTGCAGGATCAAATCAACTGGCACGCTCACGAACCTAAAAGGCAAGATTTTGGACCTGCACTGGAGTTAAGCAGATCTCCCAGGCCTCGTGTTTTTCGCATCAACAGATATACTACACGTTAAGTCTAAATATAAATTCGAAACTTGAGATAATTATGTGATAACATTAATATCCTATATTTTTAGGAGAAACAATAAATAGGAAAATGAATGAAAAACCATTTAAAAGATTGATCCAACTTTGCATCCCAAAGAACCATTTTTTGTTATATGCTACTTTTTCCCCCCTAAAATATAAGAACATCTAGCAATTTTAGAACTAATTAAGCTTGAATATAAATGTATAAAAAGACCCATGTCTGTTTGGCACAACTCCGAATTCAATTTTTTATGGAGCTAGATATTTCTAACTATGCAAATCCATGGATTAAATCCAGCAATGCATATGGATTAAAATACACTGGGCATTGTGTTAAGGTTATGGATACCACATACCTAATAGTAGTTGACTAAATCTCGGCAGGACCCACCACATACCATGTCTTATACGGAAACTGACCTCGGATATGGAGCGAGTTCCGCATAAGGAAGGATGAATAGAGTTCTACATGGAAACGACAAGGACTACTCGGATTATATCCATATTGGTTTTCCTAGTTCTATTTGGACAAGGGGACACCTATGGGTATAAATACAAGACCCCCTAGGAGGAGAGGGGAGAAACGGAACAATAGATCAAGACACAAGATCAACATACAAGCCAACATACGCCAAGACAAGCTGCCGGATATCGACTTCGGAGAGAAGCCTAGTTGATCCTCATCGGTACCTATGGATGCCGTCGGGAGGGGTCTAGCGCTATCTCTGATCTCACCGAGAACGGATTTGAGGAGGGAGGCTACCCTGTTGTCGACTCCGAGTCAGCACTTCAGACCGCCAAATCGACAACAATTAGATAGGCTACCCCATATATTGTATTAGTGTGATTATGGTGAATAAGAGCAACGACCGGCTTCGGCCAACAGGAGTAGGGTTATTACCTAACAATTCAGGGGCCCGAACCTGTATAAAAATCCTCGTCCCCATCTTCTTTACTATAATCTCGCATATACCCTGGTACCAACGATCCCCATACTATGCAAATACCAGAATCGCGACATCAAACGTCGACACATTGCATATGGATTAAATCCAGCGCAACGCAATGATTTTCATTCACCCATTGTTGCCACAGGGTCAGCAATGCAGCATACCTCTAGGCGGTGCGCAAAGGCGCGCCCCATCATCTAGTGGGGTATGACCTATGGCTGGTTGCCCAACATGTAGTCATTGATGCGATAAAAAAAAGTTTTTGGTGGTTCAAAGTTGAAACAAAGATAAAATAAACTAGTTTAAAATCAAAGATAAGCTGATGAGGACATCCTCCACTATTACCCGCTGGTAAAGACGTCAAAGTCGGGCGACGACCGTGTGAGCCTCTGAATAATCCCACCTTGCTTAGCTTGGGAGTAGGAAGCCACCTTAAAAAGGAGAGCCACACTTCCCCTATTGGACTAGTCTTTTAGGGAGATTGGGCCTTTTCCCGAGTGGGTGTGCCAAAGAACTGTTGGGGTCCGGGCAACCTTAAGTTCTTGGGCCTTGGCCAACCCCACCTGGGCCGGATTGTTATCATTTGGTATCAGAGCTAGGCCCTTGTTTAAGGGGGTGGGAATGATGAGGACATCTCCTCCACTATTACCTGCTGGCAAAGACGGCGGGCCTTTCCCCGAGTGGGTGTGCCAAAGAACTGTTGGGGTCCGGGCAACTTTAAGTTATTGGGCCTCGGCCAACGTGTGAGCCTCTGAATAATCCCGGGCAACTTTAAGTTATTGGGCCTCGGCCAACGTGTGAGCCTATGAATAATCCCACCTCACTTAGCTTGGAAGGAAGCCACCCTTTCCCTATTGGATTAGTCTTTTAGGGAGATTGGGCCTTTCCCCGAGTGGGTATGCCAAAGAACTGTTGGGGTCCAGACAACCTTAAGTTATTGGGCCTCGGCCAACCCCACCTGGGCCGGATTGTTATCATAAGCTATTGCTTAGCTTGGGAGGAAGCCATCTTAAAAGGGAGAGCCAACCTTCCTCTATTGGACTAGTCTTTTAGGGAGATTGGGCCTTTCCCCTAGTGGGTGTGCCAAGAAACTGTTGGGGTCCGGACAACCTTAAGTTATCGGGCCTCGGGCAACCCCACCTGGGTCGGATTGTTATCATAAGCTAAGAGTGATTTGAAGTGAATATTTAATAATAAAATATGGTTTTAGTAATAGCTCTAAAGTAGTATCTCTGCCTAAATTTATTTTATTAGGATAAGTTATATTTTTAGTTAGGTTGAGTTTTTTAATAACTGAGGGAATGGACTGTGAAACCAATTCCCCCGAAAAGGAAAGAGTCAATTTCGGTCTTACCCAACTTTAATCTTTAATATTGATTTTGCCACCAACTAAAACGGCGTAAGTCCAAAATTCCCCATACCTCTCGCACTCCACTCCAGAACCCCCAACCTAACCCTGCAGCCGCGATCGCTGGCAGCGAAAGAGAGGAGTGGGCATGGCTTCGTTTGCGCGATCTTTCTTGGGCTGCGGCGGCAAGGCAGGACGCGCGGGCGCTCGCCGTCCCCGCGCCCTTTCTTCCGAGGTCCGCGGCGGCGATCTCAGCCAGCGCAAGCCAGCTCCTGGCGTTCACGAGGCAGGGAGCGGATGCGTCCACAAGGATCCGTATCCTCCCCTATCTGAGGCGGCCACCAAGGTAATCCCGGCCCCCAAGTTCGTTACAGCAGAGGAAAGCTTGTTCTTCTTCTTCTTCTTCTTCTTCTTCTTCTTCTTCTTCTTCTTCTTCTTCTTCTTCTTCTTCTTCTTCTTCTTCTTCTTCTTCTTCTTTCCCTCTTCGAAACCAAATATTGTATACGCGAGTTGCAGAACGACCTGCACCCTGAACCCTGAATAGATAGATAAAAGGTGTTGCCTTGAATGTTCTTGATACTGCAAATTTTGGGGGCAAATGTTTCTTTTCTTTTCTTTTTTGTGGAAGGGGGTGGGGGTTCTACTTGTTACTTGATTTTTAGATAATGTCTTTTTACTTGATGGGAGGCATCATCCATTGTTCGCTTTAGATCCCGCAATGCTCTGGTTCGACCCACGTAATCTAGTCAATCTTGAATTATCCGTTACTGCTTCATTCCTCTACATGCGTTCCCTCTCACCATAAGCATCCAAATCTGTGCCAAGTCTTTTGTTCAGCTCAAGGCCTTGTCTTGTCCTCATCAGCATTCTTGGTCCAGTAAGAATTAGTCATGGTGCTGGAATTGTTGTTTTTGGCAGGCTTGAGTAGGCCCTGTAAAGTTGCAAGTTTGTGTCTTCCCTAGCCCTAGTTCCTTTCCTGTCATTATTTTTGTGCTATTCTGTTCCTTGATATGTAAAGAGGTGTGGTTGCTTGATTATTTTTCCGATTTCAGACATCAAGTTCATTGTTTATGATTGAATCGCTTATGCTGTGAAAGTACCTTTCTTCCAGAATTCATCATTTTCTTAACCCGTTCTTAGGGCCTCTTGTTTGAACAGTGCTATTCATGATACTGTAGTATGCTTAACTTCCACTGCGTATTTTTTGAACTGATATTTGAAATGCATGGTATGATACATCACAAACACCTTAATGTTATCAAAACCAAAGGAAACAATTCCTTATGGTTTGAATTAGCTAAACGGCTAAACCTTCTGGTGCTTTTTATTCCGAACAAACATCATTTGCCTATGTTTCGTTACATTGCAGTTGCTATCATATGCATTCCATTTGGAACTAGCATGTGTTCTTTAAAATATTTTCTTTTTTCGTTTTCTTTTGATAAGACACATTCAGAGTCAATTTATCCATAGATGAAAGTTCTGCGCCACAATATATTATAAAGTTTGGAGGATACAAACCCACTTTAGAAAATACTAGTGTTTCCATGCCAATTTGTTAGTTTATACTCCTTCAGCACTAGCTACATCTACATGGAGCACTATGTACATCTACATGGAGTACTGATAAATTTTGTTACAAAATACTGGAGTACACATCTACATGTGCATTCTCTATAGAGCTCTCTGAATATCCTTCAGCACTATCATATGCTACCTTCAGTTAAAGAAAAACAACTATTATTTGTTACTTTTCAAAGTAATCAAATGTCATTTTGTCCACTAAATTTTATTTCCATAATGCAAGAGTTATAGATATGTGATTTATGAAAGTATTGATTCGATCTGTACCAAATTTACCAGTACCATTTTCATATGTCCAAATTACATGTTGTAAACAATATATTTGATCAAAATTAATATGGTTTGCGTGTACACATGCAATTGCGACATGTTTTTGTGTCCGGGGGGAGTACATATTATGTTTGGCTTTGTAGTTCCTTTGATGATTGTATTGCATCTGGCTGTTGCCCTCGGTGGTGTGATCACTTCATTCTCTTTGTTTGATGCAACTACTTAAGTCTGATAGGCATTTATAAACTCGTGTAAGAAGATCCCAAGCCTCTCACGTTTCAGCATTAATAAAGAGCATGTGAACAATATTTCTTCTCAGTTGCACAGATTGTGCATTTGAGCATATCAATGACCAGACCTTTTCCATCTTCATATCCTTCATTATTCTGTTATATCAGACTTGATCAAACAACCATGACTGAATAAGATCCTTGATTGTATTTGTTAGTATTCTCTACGCGCATTAGGTGTAGCTGTATGCTCTCTTATACTAGTTTGTTGTTAGGTCTTCTTTAGCACCTGAAAAAAATCACGGGATATTTTGCACAGCGAAAGCCTTGCCCTGTGTAAGACCATTTGACTTAATATATTCAGGTGGCCATTTCGCCCCTCGGTGAACCGTCAAAAAATATATATCTTTTGTTATAGTCAAGTGTGGTCTGATTTGGTATGATTAAATTGTTGATATTAACTTATTCATTTGCTCATGCCTCCATTGGAAAGTTCATGGTAAACACATATTCATTCTGTTTATTGGCGCTTATGAAAATATGAAAATAGTTCTTGAGTGGACATTTCCGTGTCAAGATCTGTGGTCATTTTTTCGGCCTGCGCATGCAACTAGGTGGTTATAGGTGTTTGTTGGATGGTACATGTTTCATACTGCGTTTTAGTTCCATATCTAGTACGATAAACCAGATGGAACATGCTTTATTTGATGGATGCTATTCTTTTTTTTTTCAGCTAAATGCACTGCTGGATGAAATTAAGGGGAAGAAGCTCAATTCCGTGCCATTGGTAATGGTGGGCAAAACCATTTCAAAGTGCGTGCATATTCCCCTGTTTCCATTTCATACCTGTTTGAATCACAGCTCAAACGATTTCCATGTTTGTTTGTAGCTTTGAAATTGTTCGGAGAGAGGTTCACTTCAAAAACATCGGTCGATCATGGGCCATTACCGCCGTTCTTCTTGGTGGCTACTTCACTGGCTATTGTATGGAAGAGGAGAAAACCAGGAAAAAAAGGCAATCTTTAGTGAATTAAGAAGCCCGCCTGTAGAGGACATATGTAAGGTGTCCCATGTGTGCAAATGTGGAAGTCTCTATCTAATCTAGATCTCCCTTTGGATATGTTAACTGCACTGTTTGTTTCCATTCAACTATGCTGATATCTGTTACATTGTGATCTGGAGGCAGCATTAGAGTTGTACATTTTTATTAACTACTTGTTATACTTTTGGCCTACGCATTTCAACATGTCGCAGTGGAGACATTTAGTTTCATACTCCCTCCGTACTTATAAAGAAAGTCGTTTAGGATAATGTTTAAGTCAAACCTTGGGAATATAAATCATGAATAACTCTTAAGTTGTTGAGTTTGAAAATGTAAAAAAATATATGAATAGATTTGTCTTGAAAAATACTTTCATAAAAGTATACATATGACTTTTCAATAAATATTTTTGTACAAATAATAAGTCAAAGTTGTGTTTTGGAGACCGTGTCGCTGTCCAAAACGACTTCCTTTACGAGTACGGAGAGAGTACACAGCAGCTTTGCTGGTAGAAGGAAAAAGGAACGCTGAGTCTTCTCTTTGTCTTTTGAATTGGGAAGAAACACTGGTTTAGCCGCTCCGAATCCTGGCTACCCCAGGGTTCACAATTTCTTTGAATTTCGTCACCCAAAATGTCAATTTGGAGCTTCTTCAAATCGCTCCTTTTCTTGTTAAATTTTGTTGGAAGCAAAATTACTCGTCTCATTGGGACCGTGAAACGAAATCGTGAACCGTGGCCACCCAAGAAATGAAGAAAAACAACCCCCAACCAAATATACTAATTCCAAAATATAAAGAGTTTTAGGTTAGACATTGGAATTAAAAAAATAGTAGAATTAAATAGAATAATATCGTGATTGGTTGAGAAGGGTAAGGAATTTGAATGGTAAAATGTTGTATACTTGTATTTAGTTGAGAAAAAATATAGGTGAAAAATGTTGTTATATAGTATATTTTAGGGCAATTTTTGTTTTAAGTAGGAATAAAATTTAAAGGCGTTGTTATACTTTAAAACGAAGTATGTAGTTTGCTTGGTTGCGTCTAATTAATATGCAAACAGTCGGACGATGTGAGCATCTGTGAGCATCGAAGGGTTTGTTTGTGCCCCAAAAAGAAATCGTTCTCCGTCAGTCCGTCTCCTCCTCCATGGCACGATCCCTTCCCACACCTTTCCTATATTCTCTGCATCTCACGCGTGTAATTGGGAGATTAGTGGAGAACTAAAAGGAGTAAAGAACGTGAAAGGGAATTCCAATTTGCGGAACGCCAGTTAGGAGAACTAAATGGAGTACCTTTTTTTTTTCTTTCCAAAACACAATTTAGGGATTAGACTCCATTTTGGACATTTGTTAGGGTGTGTTTGCTAGTGTAGTTGGTGAAATGAAGCCGCGGATTTAATAGAACTTTTTAAAATAGCTTTCATGTATGATTTTTTTTTTTAAAACAAATAAATCTTCTAGTAATTTGGAAAACGTGTGAACGAGGGAGTTGAAGTTTGGAAGGGATGAAAGAACATAATCTTTGAGCAAGTTTAATAATAGTTGGTTACAAATCTATAGCCCGTTTTTTTTCTCTTTCTTCTCCTCTCCCCTCCACATAAATACAAATATGATATGGCAACTTGTACAATCTGCTTACATAATTTTATTGTAGTCGCTCTTATAGTGCGTTCGGAAGTTGTCTTTCCCAACTCATACTCTCTTATTTTCCTCGCGCAAGTTTTCCGAATTGCGCTAAACAGTACGTCTTTTTTTAAAAAAAATCTATAAAAAAATTGATTTAAAAATCATATTAATTTAAGGAGTTAATTTATCAGATGAAACTGATGAGGCATTATCTCAGCCGTTGGAAACAAGTAACAGATGACATAGATTTGGACAACTCCACCGGTAGAGTTCTACCCCAACTTGAGGGGATCCATTCCGGCCGACCTCCTTCCTCCTATATATTCTAGGGTTTTCTGTCCCGGCGATCCGACTGTTCTCTCGCCCATCGCCGCCGCCTCCGCCGCCTCTGCCCCAGGTACCAGCATCCACCTGTCTCTTAATTTCCTTTCGCCCACCAGCTTTGCTGGCGGATCAAGAGCCTTCGAGTTGGAAGTAATTTGGATTTTTTTTTTCTCTCTGATCTTCTCCCCGTCCGCGGCTAAAAGAACTGGAGTAGTTTCTGATTTGGGACTAAAAACTCTTCGTGTTTGTGTGATCGCTTGTGATTGTGGCACGGCAACCATTCTTATCATGTCCAGAAGATTAATTCCTTCTTCTTGTTGTTGGGAATAAATGGATAGATAGATTTACTTCTGAATTTGTGTACGTTCTGTTTTTTTTAAAATTTTTAGCTCTGGTTTGCTTGGTGAAATTCCAGGTTTTTCTCTTCTTTACTTGTGGTATAACTCACGTCACAACGGTCACATGACACTTGCATGTAGTAATGATACACTTAGATACCAAAAAAAAAAAAAGAGCAAGCTGATCTGCTGATGTAGCTGGGTTTATTAGGTTCTGTATTGAGAATTCATTCTAGTTAATTCGGTACTGATTTTTAAGGAAACAAAAATACTCAACTGTTTTAACTGAATTAATTGAACTGCTAGCTCTGAAAGAGGGGGGCATATGGCTTCCTTATTTCGACGATCTTCGATCACCCACCACGCCACCTCAGCTGTGGCATCTGCAGCAGGTGCTCACCGTGCCTTCTCTCCAGCAATGGGAGGTGGCATTCGACCTGATCTTACAAACACTGAGATTGACAAGCTTCTGCTCCAGAAATCTGCATTCAACAAGGTTAGTACCCCCAAATCCCCAAACTGTTTTCTTCTTCCGAGGGAAAGCCCAAGATGGTTCCAAATTTACCTATACTGTGCACCAGCTCTCTTGTCCATTTCCATTAAACATTTTGGGGAAGGTGACGGGAGGGGAACATTAGTCGAAAGTAGAAGTATTACTTTCCACCATTCTCACACTCCATGGCCAGTTTTTACTCTGTTGTTCTCCAGATCTTTTTCAATGCCAGAACATGTCTGTTTTCGAATCTCGAAAAGTGCTTTCTAGAGGGATTAATTCTGGGTGGAACTTCTGTAAGGGTTTTATGACCTGATATAGTATTTGGTTTTGGCGAACTGGTAACATTTTTTTTTTCTTTTTTGAGAGGACTAGCCTCCATTCCAACTCATCTGCAATAACGCGAGCTCTAATTTGGAGATGTTTCACCAGTACGTAGGTAATGATACCAACTAATTGAAATTTCAACTAAAGTTTTAATACATTTCTTGCGTAGAGGAGAAGATAGAAGTAGCGCACTAAATCCACATTGTGATAAGGTCTTAAACTCAAATGTGCTGAGTGCTGATTTGAAGTTGCTACTGCTAAACTTAGTACAATACTACGGTGGGTTTGCTCCATTACTTATTTTAGTTTGGTACTCCAAGAAATTGTTCGATTAGATGATGCAGTAGTGCAGTACTACCTTCCCCCTAACAAGAATTTGAAATTGAAAGAATACTACACCTTCCTCTCACCAAATAACTTAGCCCATCTTTGAGAAGTGGTGAGAGATACAAAACTTGTGTCATTTGGAAGCCTTCACCTTTAATTTGATGAAGATAGGAGAAGTTAGTAACATAGGAAACATGCACTGGCGTTTTACGGATTGTAGCGTGTTGAGCATGTTTTTTTCTCTCTAAAAAACAGCATCTCCAAGACTTCAAGTGATAGCTGGCTAATTTTTCTCATTACAAGTGATATTAGGTTCTTATATAAAATTGATTTTTGTTATGCTGTTCAAATGGATGGTACTCTTGCAAGCTTGGACCAATCTTTGGTAGAGTGGATGTAGGTTAATGAAGAAAAAGGATGCACATTCTTCATCATTTAATGGTTGTGTATATTTTGAATTTGTTGAATTGCTTTTGGAGATGTACTTACCGTGTGATCCAATCCAAGCGTACCTTACTTTGAGCGGACTTGGTCTGAATTGATCTGGAAATTCAATTTACAATATTATGATCTTACGATGTCACACCATGCATGTTCATCTCTTTACTGGGTGCACTACATTATTACAATCATAGTCTGCAGATTCAAGACTTTGCGTTTTTTAGCTTATAATGCTGACTACAGCCAGGGAGTTCCTAATATGCTGAGATTTATATGGTTTTTGTCGTCATCTAGGCATTCCGTTGATCCACATAATGTTTCTTTTGTTATCAGAAACTTCTTGCATCTAACTTCTCATTGTTTGACTATCAGTAATGCTGCTGCATGCCTGCTGACAAGTACTGCCCTCATTACATGCGCACCATAATAATCAATTTGAGTTGAGTCCGGCAAATAGTTTCTCCAACTCGACTGGTTATTTTAACTTTGGTATCTGAATTGTGCAGGCAGGCATATTTTCAGCGAGAGGTAAGATCACGCATGCCAATGTTGAGAAAGGGCTCGTGCTGTCTGAATGCCTAAAGATGTAAGTACGCTGTTTCTTTTTATTACACACATGATTTGTCCTTGAGCAGTGTGTACTAAATCTAAACTTATTTCTCATGTAAGTACAGTCTGCGCCGGGAGGGTGAACAGCAGAGTTGGGCTAAGCTGTGGTGCAAGCAGATTGCAGCCGTGGTGATTTTTGGGGTGCTGTTTAGGTCGGGAGAACCGGAGAAGCATGAACCAAATGCTAGTAGTTAATAATTAATTCTAAGAGGCTTATAACTAAGTTAAAAGCATGTGACTGTGGACTGTGGTGTTATGCTGACAAGCAATTTATGCTCTTTATCTTTCTTGGGAAGGGCGACATTTTGACAAGCAAAACATGATGATGCTGATTGTTTGTTTTGAGTTGGCACTTCTGAGTTCTAATTAAGATGCGTGTTGAACATGCGGCTACTTTCGTGTGGTATATATGATTATGTTCATAACCATCTGATGCCTTTTAAAATTCTTGTAGTGATGATTTCCTGTGTAAGTTCAGCGTGTAACATGTTTCATAACTATCGTCTCGCGTTGTTCCGTCTCTTTCCTAGACGCATGAATTCATGTTTGGTTCAGCAACAGATCGCTACTGGAGACTCGTCGTGGGGTTTGTGAATCGCCAGTTGCATAACAATTTATAACGAGACAATTCCACAACATGGTAACTAGACAATTCCATTGGTACTCAGCTACTTAAGTCACAGAGCACACGTCATGGTGCAATTTAAACAACCGGCCAGGAGTAATTTCAATCCCAAATCATGAAAACAACCATACACTAGTCATTTACTGAGGCAAATTTTACTGAGGGGCAAATACCAGTGGTCCGTCTCGGCTACATCCTCCACAACGCAAGGACAGCTCAATCAACCTGCCAAGATTGATCAACAATTCGTGTCAGAGCATCATAAGAAACTTCTGAAAACTGGTTGCGGTGCGGGCACCAAAACAATTTAGTGTACAATGTAAAGGAAATGAAGACAACAAAAAAATTACTTATGCTAGGAAGCCTGCAAGTGGAGTTAATAGACTAGCGTTTATGCACTACCAATTGTTAGTAGATTTGGATTGTTTTGACCAAACTTGGACCTCAAAATACCATTTACAAATTTTGTATTGGTGGTGCTTTATGCTTCTACCACACATATTTGCACTAATTCCAAAGCATCCATCTGTGATGTATGATCACTACTTAGGTCCTGTTCTTTTTTGATTAAGATATAGATTTTACCATGATTTCCGTTAACACGTTTTTCAAACAACTAAACGGTTTGTCTCGTGTGAAAACTTTCTATATAGAATGTGCTTTAAAATATGAAATAAATCTATTTTTCAAATTTGTAATAATTAATACTTAATTAATCATGTGCTAATAGCTTTCTAGTTTTTTGCACCCACTCTTCTTCATCTACCGCAAAATCGAAAGGCCCTCCCCTTCCAGTCCTTTGAGATTCACAACTCTTGTTTGGAGGCTAAGAGGTTATGCCATCATTCTGACTTTACTCCTAAAGATTCTAGTTTCATAAAATTAATCAAGTCAACATGTTTCAAATTCAAAAAGTACTAGGGCCATCGTTATCCAGCTTCCAAAATGCCCCTCCCTCCTATAAATTACTTAATGAAATGTCTGGAGTGAAAATAATGGACCGGTATTCAACTGCAAATTCAAAAGATACTTTTAACTCAAGATCAACAAACCATGAATTTTGTTTTAGTGGGCCATTTTTACATTTAAAAAGGAAGCTGATGAACGAATATCATAATCTTCATTTGCCATTTTTCAGTGACAATTTTATGAAAAAGCATTTCTGAACAGATACAACTTTTCTGGATGCAGATTCATCTATACCCCTTTTCTTTACCATAGGATTGATTGTGGTGTCTCAAGTTTTGTGCACTGTCAATTGAACGAGTTCATCATATGAGTACCACCCATTTGAACACTAAATGCTTTACTCGAGGCAGCGAGCATCGATGAATATTTCTTTCACAAGGTACAGGACAACGCCTTATTGCAGGAAATATAGTATTGGTTATTGTTCACGCATTTAATTTCCAAATTAAAAAACTCTTCTAATTCCACTACTTGATGCTAATGCAAACAGTATTGAACCTAGGTTCAGAAAAATTGTACATTTCAATTGTGTTCAGATTTCAGAATAGATCATATATAAATTCCAGTATTCATGGAGTAGTTTGTCGCAACTTAGACATTTAGAGGCAATAAAAAGCAGCTCTACATCTTCTTCTGCTGTTAGTTAAAGTAGTTTTGTTAGTGTTCAGTCTATTCCAAATGACAAAGCATATCTTGCAGCTTGTATTTGCATATGACGAGGGATGCCAGAACAGCTGTGTGCCTGCGCCTACGTTCAGAGCAATATTGAGGCTTGTTTTCTTCCAAATTCTCAAGTTTGTTACTCTGGTTGGTTTGTATAAATAACATGCTAGCTTCATAGAATCCTAAATGTGCTTATGCATAATGCATGTATTCAGAATAATGTAATGATCTCACTGCATACCTTATTGTACTTGTAGTTGGCAATGATTGATGAGAAAAGGCATAGAAAGAAGGTGTTTAATTGCCAACCTGCACCATTACGGAACAACTCCGGCGTCCTGCAAAATATATATATCATTGTCTCGGACTCTTTGTACAGAAATATATATGCATGTAGAGAATAGTAAAACAGTTATAATGATGACACATCACTAGTGGAATGTGTCAGTCCTCAGCAAACAAATGCTCCTAGAGAAGTACTATATCAGAAACTTAGTGACGCCATGGGCTGAAATAACTGAGACCACGATGTTCATCGAATGTGGGAATGAAAGGTGAAATTTAATTAAAGTCAATGTCAAACAGCATTATGGAAGCCATGTCAAACATGACAAACTTACTGATAGAAACTTAGTATGATCCTTCTAACAAAAGGTTAAAACTTGTGTGCACAAATATTTGTTGTTATAGGAGTTAATCTCCAGATGAAGGGGCAAAATAACACAACCTTCATTTGGGCCTTCGGGTCAGAGTGGTGCCCAAGACGGACATGGTGATGGATCATAGCATATTAGCATCCCACAATTCCCGCGCACAAGAAGACTAAAATTATGTGTAATAGTTGATGTGTCAAGTTGTTTGAGGTTTTCAATTGTTCAAAAGTGATAATTATTTGTTTGTACAGCCCCAAAACCTATAGTAGCATCAGCCTACCACCTTCATTGGCATTTCTTACACTTACACATGTTAGAATATGGGAATTATAACATTAGAAATCTTGTCCTACTAGTCTATCTACAATAGCATCAGTATGTCAGCTTCATAGGCATTTCTTATTGTTTTAACTGTTGGTTGATTGGAAATTATACCACTATGAATATGTAGAGATTCTAATGGATCACTGATATTCTGACATCGTCTTCTTTCTTATGTTATGGCAACATAAAATATCTCATACATTCAGTGAATACAAATATCAACAGCTTCATACATTTTTGTGAAATAACCATACTATGCTTGACTCGTTTAAATTAAATATTCTATGCAACAACCACATAGCTACATGCCTTCAGAACTATCACCACAGACAGCTGGTTTTGAATATGACGCATGCTTTATTCATCTCTCAACTTGTAACCAATCAGAGTGCTGGACAATTCACTATGTGAAAAGAGACAATTCAATATAACTATATAAGCATTCATTCTCCCAAGCTATTCCACGTGAAGGAAAAAGAAGGCATTTATCAAGAGAGCTCTAACTTTTATACTTAGTACAAAATGCATTACCCAAGTCTATATGCGGATTATTAGCAATTATATGTTTTGTAAAAACAGACGAGACACGGTATTTGCAAAGCATCAACCAGTTGAACTAACCGAGCGATGAAGCAACCTAAAAGCACAATAATCATAAAGTGACTGCTTTAACGCTGTTTTTAATGAGAATCCGTGTCGATATTATAGCAGAAGCTGGTGGTGTACAGAAACCACAAGAAAAAATAATAATAATGGCTGTTGGCCACCAACTGCGATCGTTGCGTAAGATAACTCATGGCTATAAGATATGGATGATGCGATGAGTATGAACTTATGTGCTGCATATATACACACATGGAAAGATGGTGAGATCCCCAAGCGACTAACAAGCAGTGTGTGTTTAGTGAAATTGTTTGAGCAAAATTAACCAGCAAGTTTCTTAACCGCATGACATAGCGGCATATAAATGAAGAATCAAAGGTAAATAAAATGAGCAACGAGACTTCATATACTACGGAACTAGATAGAATAGTACAGTACTCACTGTGAGCTAGGATCAAATTTCTCCTCTTGTCTTTCCAAGTGGGCGCGCGCGCGTTGGAGAATTCGTGAGATTTCTCCCCCGGACGGACGAAGCTCCTCTTCAAGCATCTGGATCTTCCTGACTGGGCTCTGCATTGGGAAACAGGAATCGGCAACACGAAAAGGTTCAAAGAAAAGACAAGAAGAAGAAGAAAATAAAAAGAGGAACCGGAGGGAAATGTAGCTAGACGGGACCATAGTATCCGCCGCCCCGCTCGCCGGAGGACGGCGCTTCAAGCCATCGAGGACGCGGAGGACGGCGCCTCGAGCCCTGGAGAACGCGGGCATGGTTTCCCCCCTCTCCTCTCGCTCGCTGGCTGCCGCCGGATTGGGAAGAGGGAACGAACCCTAGGATTTTCTCATTCCGTCTCGGCCGGGCCCACTTGTCATGCTTACAGTTTGCTACAGTGTGGGCCTTTCGTCGTCTCTCTCTCTCGTCTGTTTATTGGCTTTACTTAGGGCCTGTTTAGCTTGTAAAATGAAAATTTTTTAATGGATGCTTGACCAGATGTCGAAGGGGTTTTCGGACACGAATGAAAAAACTAATTTCATAACTAAACAGCGAGACGAATCTTTTGAGCCTAATTAATCCATCATTAGCACATGTGGGTTACTGTAGCATTTATGGCTAATCATGGATTAGTTAGGCTCAAAAGATTCGTCTCGCGATTTACATGCAAACTGTACAATTAGTTTTTTTTTATCTATATTTAATACTCTATACATGTGTCTAAAGATTCGATGTGATGTTTTTAGAAAAAGTTTTTGGGGAACTGAACAACCCCTTATTATTATTGTCAACCGTAAATCAAATTTAAAATTTTGTAAATTTAGAATTGAATTGATTTTAGGGGTTTTCATCCTAGTATATGTTGTTTTCTAGCCTTGCCTTTTTTTTATTAAACCACTAATAATACAGACATAGAAAAGTTTCACGCATAAAAATATTTTTACTATTCTGTTCATTCATTTTTCTACGTGTTATCAACCACAACTTGAACCCATCAGAGTGTTGTTTCTTCTCATCCTGCAGAGTATTGTTTCTCATTCTGTGATTCCATTTCTTCCGGTTTGTATCATCAAACACTTGTTGTTCATTCATGCTGATGCAGCAACTGATTTGGAGTTCAACTTGGTGTGAGGAGGTTCGTAAGAAACAGCAGAGGTTCTTCTTGCTGCCGAAGACGTGCTACTTTATTCTAAAAAGATTTTTTAAAAATTTTTACAGATACGAACCATTGGTTGCGAAATGTGCTCTTCCACAACAACAGCTGAGATAAAAACAAGCTCGAAATCATAATCCCTTCACAAAGTAGGCCGCACGGTAAAGTCACACCATACATTAAAACGTAAACACACTACAAAAAAAAATCCTTGATTATTTATCCATCCGTCAACCAACAGGAAGGCGCAGTTCATGAATTGACCTGCCAATAATAGACACAAATTTGCTCATGAAAAAAAAAATTGGCAGGAGCACAAGCATTACAGACTAAAACAGCTCTGGGTAATCGAATGATCTATAGAAGTAAGACTTTGATTCGAAGAACACAAATTTCATTAATTTCCACAACTGCAAAGCATAGATGCAGAGCTAGAAGCTATAACTTATAAAGCCCACAATATCAGCTCAATCGAACATTTCACAGTGTAAGTACTAACAAAATCAACATTATATTGTTTGTGCTATGCATTTGAAAGTAAAGCTTTACTTAAAATCACTAATCATCCTAGTCTCTTGGAAGTTGTGGAAAGAAAGAAACTCGAGAGTTTTCAGGCAACTTGCAAGCACTAAACGGACATCCTGGCTAAAACTAAGGATGAAGCACGGCTCTGGATAATGGTAGGAGCAAAGTCCTTAGCTGAGTTCCTTCCGTTGGGAGAGTAGGCCTCGTTTCTGGTCAGGGATGACCGAAACTCCCACCCCCCTTGTAAATGCTGTTTTCTTACCCCTTTATCAATATATAAGGCAATAATTTTGCCTTTTTTTTCAAAAAAGAAAACAAAACGAAACGAAAAAAGAAGTAAAGCTTTACTACGAAATCATGGCGGAAGGATAGATATATAGATGAAGAATGCATCAATCATTACCTAACAACCAAGCATGACTCGGTACACAAGATTAATAATTTGTGGGCTGCATGCTAGTATAATTGAGGACTGATAGTAATCTAGCATGACTCTGGAGAAACATTATTTGGGAATGTGTTACCACAGTCCTGATCACAAAGTAGCAGGTTTCAGAGTTCAATCATCAACCATTTTCAAATTGTTGGCATACAACATATACTTGTTCATGTATAGCATGGAAAAGGTTCTCATGAATAATTGAATGTATATACTTGGGTTACCCGAGCCAAGTAGTTTAAATCCCTTTAATTCATAATACTTCTACTAAGCAAGTTAAGAGAATGTTACTGTCACCATCAAAAGAGAGACAAGTGCTAAACTAGATAAGCATCCATAGATTTCCTAGATATAGTGAATTTAGACGTAGAGAAAACCGAAACAGCTCAATTGATTATCTGCGCAACCAAAACAAGAGATGAACCACAAAATCAAGGAATGATCATAGATCATCTCATGGGTTTACAGCCTTTCTAATAAAGTTTAAGCTCAAAACCATACAGATGCACAATTCTCATGTATTTGTTTCACTCTGATAGCATACTGTGTGAGGAAATTATCAGATGATACGACCCAATGTTCTTGAGAGAAGAGAATCATAAAACGTTCACATTTATTTTTCGCGGCACAATCTTCAGTATGATCGCTGTGAGGTTGGGTGACAAAATTCATGCATGTGTAACGCTCCACTCCAGTGATAATCACAGATTCTGCAGCAGGGTGGATGGTAAATGACTAATTGGCAAATTGCAGTGCAAACAACAAAAAGTTGAGCTTATGCGAAATTGCAAATGAGCAAACAAGGATGGGTGACCTGATGGAGGCTGTCGTCGATTTTGGCGAATCCAGTCCCTACGACCCACGAAGAAAAGAATGCAAGCACGAGCTTGGAAAGCCAAAGAGCTTGGTCCCTGGTATATCCCTTGGTGAACCCCAGAGAGGTGAGCCTTCTCTCGACGAAGCCTTGGTCGGCCATGGTGCTGGCCCGGTAGGATTCGATGTCCCTGATAAGAATGGCGTGCACGGCATCCTCAATCTCGTCGAAACGGCCGGCGAGCCTCCTCCCCTCCTCACTCCGAGAGAGCTGGACGCACACAATTTTACACAAAAAGCAGCAATCAATCGATCGATCGTCCGTCCCTCGCTCGCTGGAAAGGGGAATCGGACTAGAGATGGGAAGGGAAGGGAAGAGAGGGAGGGGAGAATGCACCTCGATGCTGTCCTTGCGGCGCGACGGCCGGGGCTGCGACGAGAGGACCCCGCGGCGAAGTGGCGCGGCGGGGAGGAGGCGGCGCAGGCTGCTGCTGGTCTTGGCCGCGGACGACGACGACGACAGGGCGCGGCGGAGGGCACTCACCGCCGCCGACATCCCGACCCACGCGCTCGCTCCGTTGAGTTCTAGGGTTTTGGAGCTTGATCCGCCGGGTGGTATGGGGTTAGGTTGAGCCAAGCCGATTCGAGACTTCTCGTCCACAACACCGAACCGAACCACCACCCGTCGCAACGGTCGCACCCGACCACTCACCACACGCCACTCACTTCCTCACCCGTGCACAAGACTAAACGGCCTCTCTAGCTGAGCTTAGGCCCCATTGAATCGTAGGACTGAGAAAACGTAGAATTTTAGTAGGAATGTAAGTGTAAAATAAAAGATTACAAAACACAGGAAAAACACAGGAATGACTGTTTGATTGAACCACAGGAAAAACGCAGGAATTAGATGAGAGAGATATACTCAAAGGAAAGTTACCAAGAGGTTGAAGCTCTTGCTAAATTTCCTCCAAAATCTCTATAGGATTGTTCATTCCACTGGAATTTCAAAGGATTGGATAGGATCCAATCCTTGTTTCAAAGGGCTTCATAGAAAAATTTTCCATAGGATTGAAATCCTCCAAAATTCATATGTTTTTCCTCCAATTCAAATGGGCCCTTAAGATTTACTCCCTCCGTCCGTGGACAGGATATTTCATATCCAACCAAAATACTTATATTTAAAGACGAAGGGAGTATTATGACAAGCGGCTGATTAGCTTCTAAAAATATAGAAATCTAGATAAACATAGTTTTTGGCTTCTAGTTTTTTTTTAATTCTACAAATATATCTTCTTAAAATATGGAAAAAAAACTAAATTGTTTGGATGAGCTTCTGATTTAAGATTGTAGTTATAAAAAACTCTGTAAAATGAACTGTTTAAAGGAGCTTCTAGTTCCTTTCTTTCAATTGTTTTACCTTTCTCATAGTCATAATAATTGACATGGTACACATTTACTATTTTCTTTAGAAAAAAATGCAAATACTAAAAATATTGTGTCAAATTATCGAAATGTGGTGCACCACTACATAAAAATTACAGTACAATTTATTTATCATGGACATGTTGGTAAGCTGGGACTACAAGCCTGCAGCCTGCTATCTTGGAGCTTGCTGGACAGTTTCGGCTGGTCACGGTGCAGCCATAGCTCGGTAACCAAACACCCATAGTCTAATTATATGAAAGTTATTTACGAGTAAAGTAAGACGATGAATTGATACTAATCTATATTTTCTATAAAGTTATAACTCACTAGCTCTAAAGTTAAACATGCAACCACGCCACATCATCAAACAATAATTACATATTCAATCTCATGCAAGCATACAACATCTTCTACAATCTATCAAATTCTACAGATCAACATACAAGCATATCCAATAATCATCCCTACATCATTTTCATAATATTTTAACAAATATTATTAGAGTGATGTTATTAGAGTGGTACAAGCGTTTTTTGAAAACGGCGAAATGCAGGAGGGAGCAAATGACACTGTCATAGTTATGATTCCAAAAACTAAGTCGCCGGAGGAGATGAAGGATTTCTGGCCCATCAGTCTATGTAATGTGATATACAAGTTGATAGCTAAATGCCTTGTTAATCGGCTCAGACCGCTCCTTCATGATGTAATATCATATGCACAGAGTGCTTTTGTACCAGGTCGCATGATCACGGACAACGCGCTCATCGCTTTCGAATGCTTCCATGCCATCAAAAATGCAAAAGGGAGAACCAGAATTTTTGTGCGCTGAAATTAGACCTTTCAAAGGCCTATGATAGAGTTGATTGGGCGTTTCTGGATGGTGTGTTGCAAAGAATGGGTTTTGGAGATACATGGAGGAAGTGGACAATGTCCTGTGTTGACATCTGTCCAATAAGAGGTCTACGGCAAGGTGATCCTCTTAGTCCATACTTGTTTCTGTTTATTGCTGACGGGTTGTCACATATTCTGGAGAAGAAGAGCTTGGAAGGTTCAATCCAACCAATTAAGGTGTGTCGGGGAGCCCCAGGGATCTCCCACTTACTTTTCGCTGACGATAGCTTATTGTTCTTTAAAGCCGAGGTTGATCAAGCGAGAAGTGTGAAGGAGGCGCTCAGTCTATACGAGAAAAGCACAGGGCAGCTTATTAACCCAGCAAAGTGTTCTCTGTTGTTTAGTGAATTTTGCTCACAGGAGAGGCAGGAGGAGATCAAAGCTGTTCTGCAGATTCAAAGAACAGGTTTTGAAGATAAATACCTGGGCCTTCCAACTCCCGAAGGTAGGATGAAATCAGAACAATTCCAACCAATCAAAGAAAGATTTTCTAAGAGATTAACAGATTGGTGTGAGAGGTTTCTATCTGCTTGTGACATCCCAGGACTTAATAGGATTAATAGAATACTCATATCAACAAGTTGCAACTTCTTTTCTGGAAACCGATCTCCAAAGAACTCCAGGGTTAAGCGTGTTTGGCCTGGAGCAATTTGGGATGGGTGACCGACCGAGAAATTCTTCCCGGGTGCGCACGAGTGAGGACAAAGTGTGCAGAAAAGACATGTGTTGGTCTGTGAGGGCAGTCTATGACCTATGAAAGCATGGCACATGCGCTGGCACTGGACAGACGTTCCTGGCCTGGGGTTGATCGACAGGGGCGTCGATCTCTCTTAAGGGGGTGAGGATGTGACATCCCAGGGCTTAATAGGATTAATAGAATACTCATATCAACAAGTTGCAACTTCTTTTCCGGAAACCGATCTCCAAAGAACTCCAGGGTTAAGCGTACTTGGCATGGAGCAATTTGGGATGGATGACCGACCGAGAAATTGTGTGCAGGAATGCTTGGCCCGGGTGCGCACGAGTGAGGACAAAGTGTGTAGAAAAGACATGTGTTGGTCTGTGAGGGCAGTCTATGACCTATGAAAGCTCGGGCCCGGCCTGGGGGAAGGCAAATTGTGTGCAGGAATGCTTGGCCCGGGTGCGCACGAGTGAGGACAAAGTGTGCAGAAAAGACATGTGTTGGTCTGTGAGGGCAGTCTATGACCTATGAAAGCTCGGGCCTGGCCTGGGGGAAGGCGGGACGTTATACTGCTGTCCTAGGAGAAGCTCACGAGCCCTAAGCTTCATGGTGGCCTGGGCTTTCGGGATATTCGGTGTTTCAATCAGGCTTTATTAGCACGTCAAGCATGGAGGTTGATCGCGGAGCCAAATAGCTTGTGCGCTAGGTTGCTAAAAGCAAAGTACTACCCCAATGGCTCCCTTATTGATACAGCTTTCCCGTCCAATACTTCACCAACTTGGAAAGGAATCGAACATGGGCTGGAATTGCTAAAGAGAGGACTGATTTGGAGGGTAAGAGATGGGCGGACTACCAAGATTTGGAGGAATAGATGGGTGGCGCATGGTGAGAAAGTTGAGGTTATACAGAAGAAGAATTGGAATAGGCTCACGTATGTACATGAGCTCCTGATCCCTGGAACAAACGCCTGGAATGAGGCTTTAATCAGACATGTTGCGACGGAGGAAGATGCAAATGCTATTCTAAAGATCCATGTGCCGAACCAGGAGACATCTGACTTTCCTGCTTGGCACTACGAGAAAACATGCCTTTTTTCAGTAAGAAGCGCCTATAAGCTAGCATGGAATTTAACTGAGAGTGCTCAAGTTCAGACCTCTTCAAGCACTGCTACCAATGGTGAAAGGAAGCTCTGGGAGAATGTGTGGAAGGCAGACGTTCAACCAAAAGTTAAGATTTTTGCATGGAAACTTGCTCACAGCAGGCTGCCCACTTGGGAGAATAAATGAAAAAGAAGGATACAACCTGTAGGTATCTGCCCTATCTGTGGTGTAAAGGGGGAACATGGTTTCCATGCGACTGTTGAATGTACGATGGCGTGATCGCTGCGAGAAGTCATCAGAGAGTTCTGGGCGCTACCGCCGAAAAGGAAGTTTGCTATGACTGGGCCTGACTGGCTCCTTGTCCTGTTGGATAGCTTGAGTAGTTCTGACAAGGCGCGTGTTTTATACTTGCTGTGGAGAGCATGGTTCCTCAGGAATGATATGATCCATGGAAAGGGGACGGCCACAATTGCAGAGTCTGTTAATTTCCTCATCAACTATGAGAAGGTATTGTTGCTGATCCGACAACAAAGCGATGACATCAAAGGAAAAGGATTAATGTATGATGAACCAAAGGAGAAATTAGTGCAGGTTCGGACAACCAATCAGGTTGATAAATGGCGCGCCCCTCCCGAAGGTTCAGCAAAGGTAAATGTGGATGCTGGTTTTATAGAAGACACAGGAGTTTCAACTGCTGGAATCATCATTAGAGACTGCAGGGGTTTAGTGCTGCTTGCTGCGCAAAAAACTCTGAAATCCTGTGCTACTGCTGTCCAAGCTGAGGCATTGGCATGTCTAGAAGGATTAAGGGTAGCCATGGAATGGATTCATATGCCAATAATCTTGGAAACTGACAACGTTCAAGGCTCTGTCACAACAGGAGCTGTCGAGATCACCCTGGGCAGCGACAATCAAGGAAGCGAAAGGGATGATGTAGTGTCTCCAAAGTGTGCAGGTTTGCAAGATCAAGAGGGAAGCAAATAGGATTGCTCATGCTTTAGCTCAAATGGCTATGAGGTCTAGATCGTGTGAGGAGTGGAAGTTGTGTGCTCCCGCAGGAATCTTAGACTTGATAGACCAAGAATGTAATCCTCTCTTCCGAAATCAATAAAATTCCCTCTTTGAAGTAAAAAAAATAATATTTTTAACAAATCTATCCATCGTTTTTATAATATTGAACATATATGAGTACTTATCAATATGTTCCACATTAAAGTGTGGGTATCGTTTGTTTCATGATAAAGGAACTTGTTGATGTAAAAACACGAGGCTTGGGAGATCTGCTTAACTCCAGTGCAGGTCCAAAATATCTTGCCTTTAGGTTTGAGGGCGTGACAGTTGATTTGATCCTACAATCAACAAGAAACAGGAATAACAGTTAATCCATAAATGATAGCCGATCGGCCGGACGCCGATGACGTATCATTTATACTCGAGCCGATGTCATCTTTGCATCGATCGGCTGTGCGAGGCAATAATAAAGGAACTAAATCTATTCGATCGGCTGTAGTTATTAACAGTATATAATCTTTAT